GATTATTTAAGTAACTTTTTAATAACATTAAGACTTTACCAGTGATACAGTAATGTTCTAATTTATTTAATAGAATGCCGTGATCAATAGTATCAAAAGCTTTAGATAGGTCTATAAAAATATCTAAAGTAAATTGTTATTTTTCGAAGGAGTCAGTAATAATTCTTGTGAGTTGAAGTACTGCGTGTTCTGTAGAGTTATTTTTTTTTGAAACCGTACTGATTGTTGTAAAGTATATTATTTTTAGAGAGATGATTAAAAATTCGATCAAATAAAATTCTTTCAAAAATTTTGGAAAAAACTGACAAAACTGAAATTGGACGATAATTTCCAACATTTGTTAGTTCACCACCTTTATAAATAGGGGTCACTTTTGTAACCTTTATTTGGGCCGGAAAAATTCCTTGACTTATTGAACAATTAAGAACTTTAAATAGAGTATTCTTTATATTGTATGACTTAATAACAATGTTTCCATTTAAATCATCTGGGCCAATTGCCTTATTGGGCTTAAGCATTTTAAAAGCATTTTCAAATTCTAAAAATGATAGTTCAAAGGCACTTAGACCAGAGGTTAGAGGAAAATCATAATTATTGATTGGATTTATCATATTTGGAATGATTTTTGAAAGATTAGGTCCAACAGAAACAAAGAATTTATTTAGTTCATTTGCTATTTATTTAGAATCATCTATTATTTTATGATTAATTTTATTAGCTTTAAGTAAAGAACACAATCTTAAGTTTTGTTTGACCGCGATTTCACCTATAATTTGCCAAGTGCATTTTGAATTGAGTTTATGTTTCTCTAGCAAATTGAAATAGCATTTTTTTTTTGCATTTTTTTTAATTATTTTCAAATTGTTTAGTATAATTTTTGTATATTGTTTTGTTTTCAATTGTTTTGGTTTTTAAGTATTTTATATAAAGTTTTTGCTTAATTTTTGAGGACTTTCTGAGGTCTTTATTCATCCACGGTGATTTAAGGCTTTTATTTGATTTAATTATTTTGATTTTCGGGAAATTTGCGTCATAGATATCACAAAATGTTTCGTAGAATGTGTTATAGAATACGTTTGCTTCTAATGTAGAGTCGATATTTTTCTAGTTAAGTTGGAATAGTAGCATTTGATAAAAATTTGTTTTTGTTGTTGTATTATTTCGGTATCAAGATTTAGAGAAAAGATAAAAATAGGGAAGTTATCAGACACGTCATTTTTTATTATACCTATTTTAAGCGAATTGCTAAAGATATCAGTTGTTATTATGTTATCTATTACGGAAGCTGATGTTTCTGTTACTCTTGTTGGTCTGTTTATTAATGGAATAGCGCCGTTCTGAAATAATCCGTCATAAAATGTTTTTATGTTGTTATTAGTTTGATATTCAAAACAATTTAGATTTATGTCTCCAATTAAATAAAAAAGTTTTTTTTCCTTTAAACCTTTTCTCAAAATATTATTAAATAAGAATGTATTGAAATTTTCTATTTTGCTAGACGGCAGGCGATAACAGCAACTCAAAAGTATATTTTTGGTGCTACTGGTTGTCATCTCCATTGTTAAGACTTCGCTATTGTCATCAGAGTTACTCATGTCAGGCCTAATAATATACTGCAAGTTTTCTTTTATAAAAAAAAGTACACCACCGCCTCGTTTTTTTGATTTTCGTGCTAGCGGGATCATTTTAAAGCCTCCCAGGTGGAGATTTAAGTAAGATTTGGGGTCATCAGAGCCACACCAAGTTTCAGTTAAACATATTAAGCTAAAAATATTTGAAGTTTCTTTTACAATGTTACATAAGTTGTCAAAGTTTTATTTCAAGCTTCTAATATTAAGATGAACAACATTAAAATGATCCCGTCCTAAAAATTCTTTTATCTCCTTGTTCTAAAAATACGACCATTTGCTTTGCGATGCTACTGAATCATTAAAGTAATTTATGTCTGGATCTGAATTAGTGTCAATAACTAAATCATTTGTTTGAAATAAATTACATGAGATTGATTCAAAATTGTTTGGGTAATTAGAATCCATTTTAATTTTTATAACTATTTGATAGAAATTTTTTTTTTTTTTTTGAAAATTAATTATCCCAAGTAATAAGTTTATTATAAACTACCTTAGCAAATTCACCTTTTGATCTCAAATCGTTCGCTTCTTTAAATAGTCGTTTTCTTATTTCAATCGTTTTGTCGCTAAAGTCTTCTTTGACGTAAAGCTTTTTGTTCCATAGTTTTAGTTTAATAAATCGATCCAACACTGCAGTTTTATCTTTGTAATAGAAAAACTTCGCTACAATTGTTCTACTTTTTTTTCCATCAGAAGCTTTTCTTACCGTTCTATGGGCTCTTTCGATTTCTACATCATTTGTAAACCCAAGTTTTGATTTTAAAAATACCTGAACTTTTCTTTCACTTTCTTCCCATGTCTCATTCGGTTCTTCTTCAATTCCTGTAAATTTTAAACTACATCGCCTGCTTCGATCTTGTAACTCTGTAAGTTTATCTTCCATGTCACTATTTTTTAGGTTGGTACAATTTTCGTTTAAGCTTACTTTGTTTAGCTATTGTGTTTGTTTTCATTTTTTGTTCTGCAAGTTCGATGATAATGCTATCGTATTTTACACTTATAAATTCAATAGCTTTTTTTTAATTCGCAAACTTCTTTTTTTAGATTACTGTTTTCTTCTTGCATGTAATTATATTATGTTCCATTTTATCAAATTGTCATTGAAAATTTTTAATAATATGTTTTCATGAATTTCTAACATATCTCTAATTTGTGCAACAGTCTTTTTTGCCATATTTATTTTTTTTCACTTTTTTTTTTTTTTAAAGAGCTTTTAAAAACGTGTCCGTTCTCTTCAATAGATTGGCTTCAACTTATATATCTATATATCTTATATGGGGTTGTCTATTAATTAATCAAAATAATCAAAAATTGACGTAATTTTATAGGAGGGGTCTCTGGAAATTTGACAAATTGTTGACAAGGGGGAGGGGGAGGTAAAAATTTGTTGACGTAATTAATGGACAGCCCCTATGTGTATATTTACTTATTGGGGCCCCTATAAACGCGGGGCCCTAGGACGCGGCCTCGTCAGCCTATAGATAAATCCGGCCCTGTATATAATACTTGTTTGACAAAAGAAATTTTATAGTTGTTTTATGTTTTTGAGTATTACTTTGAACCTTATTCAAAGGTATGCAAAAATGTATACAATAAAGTATGTTATGCTATAACAATAGAACATAACTATAGTAGGCTAACAAACTTCTTTAGATTTTACATGCTTAATAAATTTATAAACAAAAAATATGTAACTTAGACAACAAGCTGCTACACTAGCTGAGGCAGTGTACAAAGTATTTTGACTAATTATTTTGAGAAAAATATTCAAAATATTTAATTCGTTTTTTAAGGAACTATAACAAACAATAAACAAAGTAAAACTTCAAATAATCAAAATATAAACTATTTTTAACACTTTGATGTTTAAGGTTTGAACAGTTTTATATAAGTTGCCATAATAACAACTTGAAAAAAAAAAAAAAAAAATAGATTTGTTTTCAAAGTTACCCCGCTAATAAAAGTACGGTTTACGTTAATGGTTTTTGTTTCGTTCGTTTTGTTCGTTTTGTTCGTTTGAGAACTATCGCGGTATCGTCGCAAGGCGAATAGTGAAAACTTTTATGGTAACCGTAACAACTTGTAAATAAAACCGTTGTTTAATAAAAATATTTGATACAAAACTTTAAACTTTACATTCAGTTTTTAAATAATTGCTTTTATAAATATATTTAAACTAGTAGGAAAGCAAAATTTACTAAATTTTTAAACATAAAAATTGGCAATGTTTATTAAATATCTAATATTTAAAGACATATCCCCCTGAAAGTAACTTTGTATATACAGACCGCTAGAATGCATAGCTTCTATTTATATGAAAATATATCAGGCAGTGAAATAATTTTTGTATGTTAATTAGCTTTTAACGTGGAAATCTTTTAAGGGATATATATTCTAACAATTATTTTTATTTAAATTTTTGCATAATTTTTGCAGTCATTATATGTTAAAAATATTTTGTCACTAAAAATAAACTAAATGTTGTTATCAATAATTATTTTTTTTACTCCGACTTTATAATCACAATAACTGAACAGAAACAACCTCTTAAAAAAAAATTCTGGATTAAATTATAAGGGGATGTATATTATATTACATAAGCCATATTCATTGATAAATAGAAGAATTATTTACTTTTTCTATGTTGTAAATTACAAAATTACAAATTCCTATAAATTTAGGCTACAATATTGGTTTTGTTTATTATTTAAGATAATAATTGATATAAACTAATACTTGATACATTTTTTGTGACTGTAAAAAAGTTCTATTTATCATCCGAAAGAAGGTTGTTACAACACCTTGATCTTAATGTGTTATTAAAGTTATTCGTTTTTCCCTATAATATTTAAATTGTCTATTTAGAGTTCTTAAATTAAAGGTGGTTAATGGAAATTTCCTATAAATAAACTGTCAATTTTTTTTTTTACAATAAAATTTCAACTGATAAAAATAAAATTAAAAGATATTGTTTATACTAGTACATTATACCTTTGTTTGTTCAGAAGTAATACTGAACAAAAAAATGTTATTAGTAAATTAAGGTAAAAATATTATTGATAGACTTCAAGTGTAGTTACTGGGTTTAGCTGAATCAAACAAGATTAAGATATGTTACATATTATTAACTTTAATTCACTGGAGAATTTTCACAGTAGTTAGTTAGCTTCACAGTTTTATACAGTTTTTATGCTTAAATGTTTTGTGTAGTAATGTTAATTTAAATATTGATATCTTTTGATAGCTTTTTTTTAAACAATTTTGAGCAAGTTTATTTTAAATTTTATATAAATTATAAAGATTAATTTAATTTTTGTTATTTAATGTTAAACATTTTTTGAGTTCAGGACATAATCAAAATATTAAAAAATGAGCGAGCAAATAAAATTTATTGTTGATCAGTTAAATGGACCGCCATTTAATAAAAATTTTAACTTAATAAGGTATTTATATTTTATAATACTTATTATATGTAATATAAAAGATTGCATTATTATAGCACTTGTTTTGAGTAGTCTTTGGAAAATCCATCTATTGGAATGATATTAAATTTGTTTTTTTGTTTGTTTTATTTTTGTTTTTATTATTTTTTTGATTTGTTTTTAATTTAGTTTTGACTCTCTGCAACCAATTAATTTACTTCAAATTTTAAATGATGTTATTACACAAATTAACCTTCAGGTATTTATTTTCTAACAAGCAGACAAAATTAATAGAGACATTAATGTGCACCTGTTAATTTTTTTTCTCTGTAAATATACATTTTTTTTAAAATAAAGTTTCCCATAAGCAACTTTTAGGAAGAAAAAAATGAATTTCCAGTAACTTAAAGTTGTATCCTTGGTTACATTAATGATCTTTCTGATAATCTAACACATCTGTTTGCTGATATCTTAACATTATACTCTTGTCTTGACAAAAAATCTTCTATTTTCAATCATATAACAGGCACCTGATTTTGAATCTGAAATCACTTCTGTAACAAATTTTTCAGTTTTTTTCTGGGTTTTCAGTGGCTTGTAAATTTTAGCTCCAACAAAACTCAGTTATTTACTGCAAGCAACTATTGTAATACTGTCAAAATTCCTATATTGACGAATAACATCCCTCTCATTGAGTCTTTTTTTTTAAGTCTTCTCGGGTTATTATTCACCGGTGATCTTATAATAACCCTATATACAAATTTTAATGTAATGGTTATATTAATGCTTATAGAAACCCATACTTTTTATTACACTCTTAAATTTAAGTTATTACATGTTTGTTTTCACACTAAAAATTTTTCTATTAAAAATGTTTATAAAATTAATCCTAGAAAAAGTTTGACTAAAAACTTTTGCTATTAAAAGTATTTATAAAATTTATCCTAGAAAAGTTTGAAAAGATTTATAAAAAAAATACATGTTTATATAAATGTAAATACATATAATATTCTTTGTTAATTTAAATGAAATGGGTTTTTTGTAAACGTTATAATTAATTTGTTACTTTATTTAATAAACTAATAAGTAAACTTAATAATTTATGCATTTGATATATTTAAATAATAATTTATGTAATTAATAATTTTTTATTTTTGTTATACATTTTTATTATAAATTTAACTATGTATTTAATAGTTTCATAATTTATGTAGTTAATATATTTACGTAATGATTTATGTATTTAATAATTTACAAAGCCTTTTGCATAGTATAGTAATGTGTTATGTATATAATATAGTTATGTGGTCTAGTTGTAAAAACAAAATAATTTATGCGTGTTCAGGAATGTCGTTTGATTGCACTTCTTTAATTTTTATTGGACATGTCCGGCAAACTTGATATATATATATATATATATATATATATATATATATATATGCATATATATATATATATATATATATATATATATATATATATATATTTATATATATATATATATATATATATATATATATATATATATATATGTATATATATATATTTATATATATGTATATATATATATATATATATATATATATATATATATATTTATATATTTATATATATATATTTATATATATGTATATATATATATATATATATATATTTATATATTTATATATATATATATATATATATATATATATATATATATATATATATATATATATATATATATATATATATATATATATATATATATATATATATATATATATATATATATATATATATATATATATATATATATATATATATAGGCTTGGACAGGAATGAAGTGCGATACAACGCTATTGCTGACTACCAAATGTTTTTTGTTTTTTTTGACAACTTGTTCAAGGCTGTTTAGGTGTTTTAATGGTTTAAACATTTCAGAAATGTGCTGAAAAAAGAAACATTAAGCTAAACAGTTTAGCTCAGTGTTTTTAAGTCTTTCTATTAAATCTGAAAACTATGAAAAAAATTGAAAAAACTGAAAAAGAAAACAATTCCTTACTAAAAAGAAAATGTATAAGCTTTAAAAGAAAACTCAAAAAGCTCAAACTCGGGGCAAAATTTACTTTTTGTTACATTTTTAATTGCGTTTAAAATAAATTATTTTAAAACTTATTTTATGAAAGGTTTTATTAAATTTATGTGAAACGCTTTTACAAATTACTTCTAATGATTGTTTAATAAATGAACAAATTTTATTTAAATTGTTGTATATTTAAAAAGTGAAACTAAATTGTTGTAATAAAAAAAATATATAATATTTTTAAATTGCATAAACATTTTTTTTGAAAAAGTTGCAAAAAAAAAAGTTTTTTTTAATAATAAAGTAATCTTTTTAAAATCTTTACTTAAAATTTTTAATCATTTCATTAATTCAAGTTTAAAAAAAAATTTAAACAATTCTTTGTAAAAATAGAAACAAAATATAAAGCAATTAAATCATTCAATTGCAATAGGAAGATTTTAGTTAAACTTATTCATAATTTAAAGTATTAAAAAAAAAATCTTATTAAAGATTTTTAAAAAGACATGAAAAAATAGTTTCAAATGTTTAAGTTTATCATGAAAAATACATACTTACTAAAAAAAATTTACATTATTAATTTACACAAAATGCATTTATTTTGAATGTTTTTGCACTAGCACTATTTAAAAAATTGCTTTTAATACATGCATGTAACTTTAGTATTACAAGAATAACATCAGTTATTGGGCCATGAATTAATTCTTCTTTTTTAAATTATATTAAAGCATGAGATCATTAAATTTGGCATGAGATCGTTAAATTTGGAACAATAATTTTTGTTTTAAAACTTGTCACTAACAAATTATTAAATTTTTTTTCTTCATGTAATTACATTAAGTAATTACAGTATTAATTAAAAACATCAACAAACAAGTCAAAGTGTTTCTCCTAATTAAAATGTCATTGAAACTTTTGGAAAAGCAAAAATATTTCTGCTCAACTATCTACAAAATCCTTCTGCATTGTTACTTTCAATCGCTAAAGGATCTGAATCTAGTAAAACTATTGTTTATATGGTCATAAAACAATACAAGAACTCTCTATCTATCGAATGAGCAAAAGGATTTGAAAGAAAGAGTGGCTTTAAGGATAAGAAAGCAGCAATTAGTGTTCAACAATCATTCAAGCAAAATCTCGGCATATCGAACAGAGAACAACCCAAAAAGTATAAAGTTTCAGAGTTTTTTAAAGAATAATTTTTGGCAAGTAATAGGCAGCTGTGGTTTGAGATCTCAAGTTTTTGTCACATCGTCAACTTTAAACTCAGATATTTTCATAAAAGAATACTTGCATGCTAGACTGTTACAATTTTATCTTTTTATGATTCTGGCCTAATCTTGCTTCTTGTCATTATTTTAAGAAGAGTGGTACAGTTCGATAGACATTAAATTCATACCAAAAAGCTTGAATTGCACACAGTATCCCATTAAAAAATTTGGGGGAATCGGTAAAGGATTTTTCCGTAAGACTGGCAAAACAATAAATACAGCTAAAGATTTGATTAGAGAGTGAACATAAGTAAGAAAAAAAATTGTCAAAGACACTGTGCAAAAGTTGATGTTGTCGATTAGCGTAAATGTTTGCTTATTTATATGAAATAATGAAAAATATTAAAATAAAAAGCGCTTTTATAATCTTCAAGTTCCTTAGATTAAAACAAATATTGAAGTTTTTGCATTTGTTGAACTATTTTTCATTTTTTTTGAATTTTTTTATTGTTTTGAATTTAACGATTGCATGTTTTACCCAATGGGAACAAGACATACAAAAAAGGTCTTTTAAATGTCTTTAGAGCATTTTGAACATCTTTTGAACGTTCAAAATACATCTTTTTTAGGTCCCGTGCCCACTGGGTATCCAGTGGGCACGGAACTCAGTGAGGATGTAAGAAAGACATCTTTTAAACATCTTTTGAATAGTTTCGATGCCTTTTGAACGTTTTAAATGTCTTTGGGACGTTCAAAAGATGTCTTTTTTAAGTACTGTGCCCCTGGGTAGAATTAGAACTAAAATTTGAACTAAAAACTCTAGTTAAATAATATATAGAAAAAATTGTTTATTTACTTAAACATTTTTCATTTCAAATATAATATTTGGTAGTAGAGTAATACAATCACCTTGTAATCATGAGAGTAAAAAATTAATTGCTGTAATTGGTATAGTTTTGGGGTAGCAAATGTGATATAAAAAAAAACTCCAAAACTTATGATTTTTGTTCATAAAGTTTGGGAGCCAAGCCGGAGCCAGATTTTTCTTAAGAGCCCTGCCGTAAAGAAATGTGATGGAAAAATTTTTTAGAAAAAAAACACAACAATTACCATAAAAAAGTCCTCTATGTTTGAATTTGAGTGATGCTGTCAAAAATGGTCTAAAATAGCCCCTGACAACAATAAAAGATTCCACAATAAATTTGTTTATATAATTAAAAAATTTTTTAGCAGGTATTTAATTGTGCATTTTAATTTTTTGTTTTGCACAAATTGTTAAAAGTTTAGATAATGTTATATAAATTTAATAATTATAAATAATATACAAAATATATAATTCATTACATAATATAAGAATTATTACACAACTTGGTATGTAGTGTATATATATATATATATATATATATATATATATATATATATATATATATATATATATATATGTATATATATATATATATATATATATATATATATATATATATATATATATAATTATTTTTAATATTTCAGGAAGCTTCAGATTTGCGTGAGGAAGATCCTGAACAACGTGTGCTACGTATGCTCAATTTTTTAAGAATAATGAAATACAAACCTAAAACAGAGAATGTGTTAGTACTTTTGATTATTAATTGAATCATTAAGTTTAATAATTTTTGAAAATTTTTCTTTTCACAAAAGCAATCACTTATTCATTAAAATTTAAATGTGTAGAAGTGTCACCACAATTAAAATTTCTAACTCTTTTAATTTTGGCTGACTTGTTTTTTATCTGGTCTCAACATTTTTAAATGCCAACAGATTTGTTGATGAAATTGGAATTTTATTGATGAATTTGATTTTATACAATATTTTTTATTGAAGTCTCACTTGACATTATTTTAAATGTGCAAAAATTTTTTACTTGCACCATGTTTAAAAGTCTTGAAGTTTTCCTTGAACATTATGTATATCTCAAACACCAAATGATCTTGAAACCTGACCCACTGGAACTTGAAACAATGAAGAAATGTTTGTTTATAATTATTTCAGAATTATAAAAAAAAACAACTAAGTGTTTATGAAGTGTTGGATTAAAATTCATTAGCCACTGATAGCCAAAGCTGTCACAAATAAAAAGACCACATTAAAATTCCTGGTCTAAATCGAAAAATTGATGACTTAAAATTGGAATACATTCCTGCCATTAAGAAGAGCAACTTCAGAGCTTACATATTTATTACCAGGTTAGATTATCAGAAAGATCATTAATTTTTATGATAAACAATTCAAGACCAAGAATGAAACCTTGTGGTATTCCAAAGTTTACCGTAAATAAAAAAGAGTCTATAAAGTATGAATTTAATACTGCAATTAGAAAGAAATGATTTTAAAAACTTTCTCAGATCTTAATATGAATGCATTTATCAAATTATGTTTTGCTTTCTAAAACATTGATTGCAAAGTTTGACAAAACATCTACTTTAAAAATTAAAAGAACAGATTCAACTTTAAAGTTTCCTTTTTTTAACACATTCTTAAAAGAGGTGCTAATTAAATATGCTAAACATGCTAATTAAAAACAAGAAAATTTTGTTCATTTTTAAAGGTTTGCAATATTTATTTTAAAAAAGAAAAATTTGAAAATAGTTTTGCTGTTTTGGTGCTCTTTTTTGGTTTCAATTATGCTTCACATTTTTTTAGGAGTACTTTTCGACAAGGTTTAGTCCAAGGAGATAAGTCAGTTGTTTATCCTATCATACAGTGGTTGCTTGAAAACTTAAAAGACTTAAAAAAAAGAGCTTACTTAGCTCGCTATCTTGTCAAAGTAGATATTCCACAAGATATGTTTATAGATAATGAAGTTACAGAGACTCATAGTATGGTAAGTTTTTGTTTTCAAATTGTTTTCAAAACGTTTTTCTTATATGAAGTATTAATTTAACTTTGTAATTATTTTTTTCATTATATAATAACCCTTTAAGATGAGTGCCTAAATTAATTTGAGTGGGCTAAATATTGTGTTCAAAATAATTTCTGTAGTATTGTACTTTACTCATTTGTAACTTTCAAACTAAATTTTATCAACGAATATAAATAAAACAATTTATTATTTTAAATTTTATTATATTATTTAAAATATCAATAAAAGAAAGATAAGTTTACACTTATAGATACAGTTTTAGGTCTTTAAATTAAGACAGATCTAAAGTTAATATGTACAGTTTTAGGTCTCAAAATTAAGACAGATCTAAAGTTAATAGGCACAAATTTAGGTCCTAAAATTAGGACAATCCAAAGTTAAAATAAAAATTTTGAGTAATTTTTTTTTTATGCTAAAAAATGGTTTTTAAATCAGTTTTCTTAAGAAAATTATCATCTTAGTTTATTTAAAAAAGTGTTAAAAAAATTTGATTTATTTTTCTGGTGTAAAAAAATTTACTCTTGTAAGTTTTGGAATTTTATGATATTGTAATTATTATTGGCTTAAAAGTTTTTTATTTGTTTGATTCATTTCAATTGTTGTAACTATTTTTTTTTTCTTTTTAAAAATTATTTATGGCTATTTGTTTAAAATATCAAAAGAAAAAAAATCATCCAATCAAAACAAAAATAAATACCAAAAACAAAGTATTAGCTTTACGATTATTAAAGATATTATTATTCAATTACATGTAAAAACCTGGTTTACTAAATGCTTTATGATTGGTCAAAACTTATAAAACTCTAGAAAAATAAAGTATTATTAATAAAAAAAAAAGTTCTATAATGCCATATGAATCAAATTAACCAAGAAGTTTTTATGTTATATTATTGAAATAATACAAAATATATTTCAATTATAATTTTAAGTTATTTGTTTAGTATTTAGAATTGATCGAACAGTTTAAAGAACTGCATAAAGAAAGTGAGCAAATTAAAGAAACTGGAGTCTCTGCGGCTGAAGTTAAAAAGGTTAGAATTTTTTGGAGTTTTAAGTATATATATATATATATATATATATATATATATATATATATATATATATATATATATATATATATATATATATATATATATATATATATATATATATATATATATATATATATATATATATATATATATATGTTACATAGCTGTTTTATTAATTTAAATATTAAAATATTTTTATTTGTTTATCTTTACTCTATAATATTATTCTATATTGTTATTGCTATTTTATAATGTATTTACACATAATATTTTTTACGTTTTCATGTAAAACATACTATTTCTGTATTATAAATGTAAAGTGATGAACTTAGTTCTAAAAACAATGAAACAAGCCCTATTTTTTTTTAAAGGTTATCTTAACATGAATATATGAAATTTATATAACATAATTACTTGATTTGTCTTACTTAAAAACACTTTCTAAAAAAATTTCATAAAACTTGAAAATCCAACAGCTGTTTACAACTTTTTATAACATTCTAGTATTTTCTAAAACATTATTGAACTTTCTATAAAAACTTTTAAACTAGATATATTAAATATATCTATTATCTGTGTAAGTATTTATTTAAAGTGTTGTTATCAAACATGTGAATTTATTTTCTGTGTTGCTTAAAATAGTAGTATAATCTTACAAAAAAAGTGATATTACCCAATAAACAAATCTATCTTGTTCTAAAATCTGGTTCAATTTTGCAAGTCATGCAGAAAAATAGGAAATGTGCCTTCAGAAGAATTATCACTAAAACCAGAATACTACTTCAATTATTAGATGGTACCAATTTCTTGGAGCATAAGTCAAAGGCAAATAAGAATGCATAGCAAATATTTCCATAGAATTTACAATAATGTGTAAAAACAAATAGGATTTTCCATATGTTTTAGATCAAGTAATACAAATTTGACAAGATGTTTAAAGTTTCTCATTAATGTGTACAGAAAGGTAATAGTATGATGCTTTCAATGAACTCTTCTATATTGCTGAAGTTCTTGGTCAGTGGTTATCCACTGAAGAAACTTTAACACCATCAAGTGAAATGCAAAAGTAAGTGGGGTAATCAACAGCTAATGTTGCAAGTAAGAAAATCATTCATCTTTATAAAATACAAAAGCTGGCTGCAGAATCTACCTCATCAAAGTTTTATGATTTTCTGTAGGGTGTCTTTTTTTCATTTTTCAAACTTTTTTTCATTTTTCTTATTTTCATTTTTCAAACTTTGAATAGAACTTTTTATGTAAAGCGCTCAATAAAAAAAATTTCAAACTTCAAACTTCATTTTAAAGTAACACTGTTGTTTTAGCACTGTTACAGAACTTGATAGTAAACATTTTTATTTTTCTACCTACAAAGGATGACACACAAATGTTTTGGTATTAGGTGTTTAAAAGTCACATATAACATGCTTTATCCAAATTGTTATCTTGGGAGACTATCATCCTCACACTTTTTGCAGATGTTTTATATTTTGTTAGATGTTTTTATCTTTTAGCAGATGTTTTATATTGCTACCTTTCTTTTAGCAACCTTCAACATTTTTAATAAATGAGATTTAGTAAAAATTAACCAAATCAAAGATATCAGTGAAAATGTTTAATTATATTTTATTAGGTTTGATGCAAAGTTATTTTCCTTTGGAGAGTTCAAAGTTTAGAATTTTCATTCATGTATTGAAAGTTTTGTTATTACAAGCACTTATATGTATGTATGCACTTATTATGTTTTGGAAGTTTTGTTATTAAAAGCGCTTATGTGCAATTAAAAAGTACTTATATGCAATTCAAAAGCATTTATATGCAATTCAAAAGTGCTTATATGCAATTCAAAAGCATTTATATGCAATTCAAAAGTAAAGTCCTAGTTAAGCAAAGTTTTTTGCAGAAGGGACTTCAAAAAACAGTATGAATTAGTGAGTTGTTCGAACAATACCATAAAATCCACAGTTCTCTTATGGTTGCAGTGTTGATCCAAGTTAAGTTATTTAATTTTTTGATCTAACATTACATACTAAAAGATCTTGTTGTGCATCTTTATTGTGAATCTCGCACTATGGTAAGAGCTTTCTTGAACCAAAATCAATCTGGAGTTCTCCATCAATATAAACAAGCATCAGTTTAATTAGGTCTGAATAATCCTCTCATGAAAATGTGTACTTTTAAAGGTAATGACTGGCTTATTTCAAGACAAGTGTTGCTTGACAACTGATTGGCTCTTCTTTGTCTTCTTTGACAAATTTACTACCTGTAATTTCATGATAGAATTCCTGCAGGAGATAGTGGTTCGATAGTCAATCATGGTTTTTAATACAGTAGTACTAGTTAAATGAAAAGTTTGGCACTCATTCATGCGATTTGACATTGAGTCTAATAATTTCTCTAAATTATGTTTGGGAATATTTCCAAAAAGCTGAAGTAGTATTCTGGTTTTAGCGATAATTCTTCTGAAGGCACATTTCCTATTTTTCTGCATGACCTGCAAAATTGAACCACATTTTAGAACAAGATAGATTTGTTTATTGGGTAATACTTTTTTTGTAAGATTATACTACTATTTTAAGCAACACAGAAAATAAATTCACATGTTTGATAACAACACTTTAAATAAATACTTACACAGATAATAGATATATTTAATATATCTAGTTTAAAAGTTTTTCTAGAAAGTTCAATAATGTTTTAGAAAGTTCAATAATGTTTGAGAAGTTGCGCAATATTTTACCAACAATAGATTATTACTAACTCCAAAGATTTTCAATGCAATTTAGGTCTAGGCTATTTGGTGGCCAAGTTAGACGCTCAAAATTTTTGCTTTCGAACCATTCAGAGACTCTTTTTTCTCATATTCTATTTAATGTTTGAAAAAAAAAAACTATTTTTTTATCTTTAGAATATATATATATATATATATATATATATATATATATATATATATATATATATATATATATATATATATATATATATATATATATATATACATATATATATATTTTATATATATATACATATATATATATATATTATATATATATATATATATATATTTATATATAAATATATATATATATATATATATATATATATATATATATATTATATATATATATATATATATATATATATATATATGTATATATGTATATATTTATATATATATGTATATATGTATATATATAATATATATATATATATATATATATATATATATATATATATATATATATATATATATATATATATATATATATATATGTATATATGTATATATATGTATATATATATATAATATATATATATATATATATATATATATATATATATATATATATATATATATATATATATATATATATATATATATATATATATATATATATATATATATATATATATTATATATATATATATATATATATATATAAATATATATATTTATATGTATATATTTTATATATATATATATATATATATATATATATATATATATATATATATATATATATATATATATATATATATATATATTTATTGCCAACCTCAATGTTTTTGAGGTTGGCATCAGGAATGTGTTTTTTCAACAGTTTGTTTCAATAACCACATTATTAAGCTTTAAATTGTTGCAAATAGGAAAAATCTATAACGGTTTTTAAAAATTTTATTACGCAAAAAGTACACTTAGTGAAAAAAATGGTTTTGCCCCCATTGTGAGGCACAACGGCATACTTAAAAAAATTGTTGGGGGTACACCTTTTATGGTACATTTTCTTTACAATTTTCACAGCTCAGATTATTTGATGATTTTGTTGCATGTTTGCATAATATGCAGGCATTCTTTGTATTTACATTTTGAGTTTTGCTCCAGAAGAGAGTTCTGCATCAGAAGAGAGTTTTTAGAAAGAATTCAATTTCATAGCTAGCTTATTAGATTATGTTGATATCAAAAATGGTTTTCACTTGATGAAATAATGCTGATAACACATATCTTAAACACTAAAATCAAATATTGCTCAATCCTCAAAAAAAAGGTCTGAAAAAATATGATGTAATAATAAATAATATTTTTTATCAAAATAAAAATTATTATGCACAACTTCTCATAAATGCATCAGCACTTTTTTTATTTTACATTTTTTTTGTTTTACCAACGCTTGATATGTTTTTTACCATGTTAGATAACATTTTTCAAAGAAAAAATGTTAAAAAATGATTGTGCCTCCATATGCAGTTATACCTCGACTTCCCCTATATATATTAATGTATTATATAAAGTATACATATATATATATATATATATATATATATATATATATATATATATATATATATATATATATATATATATATATATATATATTAATGAAGAAAAAACAACTTTTTCAATGTTACTTTAAGTTTCATGCCTATACAGCAATCATCAGCCATTAAATACAAAATCAAAAACAAAAAACCTGCTAAAAATTACAAAATACTATGTAGTGGGATCTTAACGTCTCTTAGACACTCTTGATGGCAACCAAAGAAAAAACAAAATATCAGCTAATCACCGGTGTCAAAAAAATAAACGAAATGAGTTGATTTCAAAATGCAGACACAAAAATAAATTCCTTTTATCTCTTGACAAGTCAAAATTTAATCTTGTGAAGTCTAATGGAGCTCAAAAAGTATGAAGAAAAAAGGTGATGCATTTACACTCAGTTGTATTCAAGACACAGTAAAATTTGATGGAGGCAATGTTATGGTATAGGTATCAATGGCTTAGAACGGAACAGGAAAACTGGAGTTTATTGATGGAATTATGGACTCTGAGTTTATGTTAACATTCTCAAAAAAATCTTCTGGCATTAACTAAAAAACTGCGATTAAGAAAACATTTTATCTTCCAACAAGACAATGACCCTAACATACGTCAAATAAAGCAAAAGAGTTTTTTATCCAAAAGCAAATTGAATTACTTGAATGGCCAGTGCAAAGTCTAGATCTCAATCTAATTGAACATTTCTGGGTTATTCTGGATAAAAAATGTGGCACACAATATCTAAAAAGAGAAGAAGAGCTAAAGATCATGCTCCAAGAAGCTTGGGCTGATATCAACTTACATACAACAAATAAATTAGTTGAATCAATGCCATGTCGACTTTCAGAAGTCATAAAAGATAAAGGCGGTCCAACTTGATATTAAACAGTCATAAAAATAATTGTCGAAGAAGCGTTAATCTTTAAGCCTTAATCTTTAAATTTTGTTCCAATACTTATTTAATGCTAAAAAATATTGTAGTTTAAATGTATCTTAAATGTGTTAAATTTTTTATCAAGTAAATATTGTTAATAATATTTTTTTTTTACATATTGAAATTGTAATTAAATTTTCTTTCAGAATAATCATTTTTTTTATTTTTATAAAGTTATTATTTTCCGATATAGCCTGAGAAAGTTTAATTTCCCTAATAAAATGTTTTGTTCGGATACTTATTTCTCTAACTGTATATCCAGGCTTTCCGGATCCGTAAAATACAGGTCTTTACTAATTTGCAAATATTTCTCACCGATTATTTCTATACCTATTCCTTATTTACTTTAATATTTTTTAGTAAAATAATTTATTCTGAAAAAAATTTTTAAGAGCAAAAAATTTAACATGCGCATCTTTTCTGCATACGTAGAGCTTATAAAAGACTTATATATTTATAGCAAAAAAATAGTAACATAGCAAAAAAGATTTCTTAAATTTAAAATAAAATTTGAAAGTTCTCTCATTTAATAGATTTATAAGATAATATATAAGACAAAAAAAATTTTAAATAAAATTTTAAAGTTTATCATTTTATATATATATATATAGATATACACGATTATTCCATATAATGGCTGCAAACTCAACATATGCTAAAGACGTTTACACTTACAGACATTTGTACGTAACGTTATACAAATGGAACTAAGAAGATCTTAGAGCACTAAAACATAGTAATAAAAAAAAAAAATTGTTTTTATGATTATGATTAAGAACTAAAGAATAATATTGAACGCTAATCTAAAAGTTAAGCCAAAAAAGTTTTGCGCATTGACATCAGTTTGTACCAAAATAAACCTTTATGCGTCAAGTTTCCTTCTGCATTTATCAAGCATTTTTTTATTAATTTTGTTCCCTACAAATGCATAAAAATATATAAAACTGTTATATCATTTTAGATATATCATTTTCACAGATAAAATTATTTATTTATTACAATAGTAATAATATATAATTTTTTCTTTATTAGAATGTATCCCATAAAAATATATTCCATATATCTTTATTAGAAAGAGTTTTTTAAAAAAAAAATTAAAATAAAAACTTAATCCGATGACTATCATTTTTACAGGTCTAAAAAGCAGATGAAATTTTAATTTCATCTGTTAAATTTAGCAATCAGAAATTATCCTAAGAGATGCAAATCTAAAGTTGAAGTATCAAATTTTCCACTTAGATGTGACAATATGTTTCGTGTTTTTTAATCTTGTCAATTTTTTTTTTAAATATAATAACATAACTACAAAAAATCAAAACAAAACAGCTTGAACAAATGACTTGTAATTATTAGAAAAGTTTACTTATATACGATCCTGAATAAAACGTTACATAAGTGGATTTTTTACATTTTATAAACAATATATATACCAAATAAGATATTTGTTTATATATACATTGTGTATATAGGGATGGTTAAGCGCAATGAAGTTAAAAAAAAAATTTGTTTATATTAAAAAATGATTTGTATAATGTTTCTTTGCAAACATTAACACACTATATTATAATTTTTAAATGCACTGAACTGCAATTGCTTTTAATTTTTTTGGTTTAGTGTCTTTTGTTAAGAGCTTTTAAATTTTGTGTCAAATTATCTCATTTCTACATATTCGTTGCATCAACCATACTGCAGCTGTTTTTCAAAACGCCTAAAGGTAAAAAATATCAATTTTGACTTTTTTACAAAATAAGCTAGTTTAGATGGCTACAAATGTTATTGAATACATATTTTCAGAGTTCTGTAAAAGTTCATAAAAATTTTTTGTTTCAAAAAACTTTTTACAAATTAATTTTACAAGTTAATTTTTTTTTAATAATTTTTTTTTAATTGCTTTTTCCTCGATATATATGTAATAAGCATATTAAGATGTTTTGAAAAACAGCTGCAGCATATATTTATAGCAAAAAAAGTAAATGTAGCAAAAAAAACTTTTAATTGTCAAATTAAAATTCTTTTTTATGGGCTTTTTTTTTTTTTTTTGCCTCCACAGCAGTACTTTCTGGAGTAGCAGGACTGTCCTGTTAAGTTTTTTTTATATTTAGTTTCAGACGACTTTTTTTTTCAGACCATCTGCAGCTTATTAGGACTAATTACCTGAGCACATTAATAACAAAGGTATCTCAACCATGACACATACGCAACATATTTTTTCTCTTGGTGTTTTAATGTTTTAAGAAGTTTTAGCTTTTTTAAAATCTTTTTGTTCGTTAAAGTGTATAATATCGTTACATATGTTTGTATATAATCGATTATTTTAAAATACAAAAAGTATTTTGTATTTTAAAATAATCAAAATAAATGAATAAAAAAATTGCCAGTGGTAGGACTCGAACCACGACTTACTTGTTCAGAAGCTCAGTGCGCTATCCACTCAACCATGCTGCCATGTTGTTAAACGAATATGTTGAAAACTTTATAATTATTTTTTTAACAGAAAGAAATACTCTAGATCAAAATTAAGAAGAGCTTGACTCAATGCAATTTTCAAGTGAAAATCAAACTGTAAAACTTAATAAATGTTTTAGTATGTTTTATCGTTACTTAAATTGAAGTTTATGTATGTTTGATATTTGCATACACTTTGGTTCACGTATTCTTATAAAACAAAGTGCTATGACTCTTTCTTGCCGCTACGTCAGTTGCAATGGTTGTTAAGGGTTCCATATCAAACATGCTTGAAAGGGCACTGCTACTACTACTACCACTAGTACTACTACTACTACTACTACTACTACTACTACTACTACTACTACTACTACTACTACTACTACTACTACTGCTACTACTACTACTACTACTACTGCTACTACTACTACTACTATTACTACTACTATTACTACTACTGCTACTACTACTACTACTACTACTACTATGTTTTTTTACTTTTTTACAGCAAATATTGTTTTTTTTTGCGAAAAAAACGCTGATTTTCAACTAAAGTTCGCCCGAACAAGGGAGTTACGCTACTCAAATTTTTTTCCTATAATAGGCCCTGATATATTTATATATATATATATATATATATATATATATATATATATATATATATATATATATATATATATACATATATATATATATATATATATATATATATATATATACATATATATATATATATATATATATATATATATATATATATATATTTTTTATTTTTTTTTTGTACAGGATATTTTAGCAATGGAAGAAGAGCAGGACCAGTTAAGAAAACGAATAACTAGAGTGAAAAAAAGGGTATTTTTTAAATCTTTTTTATTGTTGAAAAAATGTTTTTTTTTTTCATAAATAAATGCGCTGATTTAATGATTCAATGATACATAAAACAATCCTTTAGTATCTTTTCAATACTCTTTCAATATGTTTGCTATGAAATATTTTTGCTATGAAACATTATAGTAACATAAAATAATATATGCAATTTTACTACAATAATTATGCAAATATCCATAAAATATAGCAAAAATGAATGTGCTTTAATGTATAGTTTTAATTATTTTAATTTCTGTTAATTTCTTAGTTACATCATAGGTTTAATTTGTAAAAAAATAAAATTAATATATATATATATATATATATATATATATATATATATATATATATATATATATATATATATATATATATATTTATATATATATATATATATATATAATTTTTAATTATTAGGTTGATGCTGTAGCTAATAAGGATAAGTTAATGCTTGCAGCAAAACAACTAAGGCAAGAGCGTGAAAAAGAGGCTAACCTTATAGAGCAAAAACAGACACAAAAAAGTCAGGTTGCCATATTTGTTTTACCATTTATTTCAGGTTGCAATATTTATTTTACAATTTCTTGAAACTGTGGTGTATGTGTAATTCTTTTTTCTTTTTTATAAAATAACTTACACGTTTTTTTTAAATTTAAATGTTTTTTTATTATTTATTGAAATTGTAAATAGCTGCTCTTGTTTAAATTTTATATAAAGTTTTTCTAATATGTCAGATTTTAAACATGGTTTTACTCATTTATTCAGATTCTATTTACAGTTTTTTTTTATTTTTTCAGATGGTACATACTGAACAAAAGTTAAATAGACTACAAGTCCAATTAAAAGATTTGAGATCATCAGCTATTGGAATTACACCAGAAGGTTAAAATGTATTATAAATAAAATAAAAAAATTGAAATTTTAATTTTATCAAAACAACTAAGTGAGTAATATTTCTAAATAATTTATTTCTAAATAATAAAAAAATTTATTTCTAAATAATTAGTATTATGTTTCGAAATTAATAATTTGAAATTAAAAAACAGTTAAATATAAATGATTTAAAAATAAAATTTCAGGATTAATAAAAAGACTGGAAGAAGAAAATCAAGTAAATTCGTTTTTAACTAAAGAAAAATTTCCTAAGGTTTGTTCAAACATTTTCTTATTGTTATATTTAATAACTTATCTTATAATATAAAAGTTTCTGTTTATAAAATATAAAATAATATACAAAAGATATAAAAGTTTCTTTTATTTACCAAACTTTGAAAAAATGAAACTCTATTTAAAACTCTTTTGTGACTGTATTGGCCGCTGTGTGAATTTTATTTACAAATATAAAACAAAATTAAGTTTAAAATAAACTTGGTTGTTTATATTTAAAGAGGAGATTATAAGCTTCTATAAGTTTAAAGATTTATATAGTAAACAAATTTTTAAGTTTACAGATTATTCTGCACATATTCATAAAGTTTTTATTCTTGATAGGTTTTCCCAAAATGCTGAAAATTTACATTTTTAAGATTTTTAAATCTTTTTAGTAACTATGTTCTTAAGTAAATATTTAATTTTTATGAGGGGTAATTATATTTTTAAAAAAATTTTCAAAGAAGTGAAAGTGAAAGCAACTTTTTTGCAATTGTTTAATTTGCATCTTATAAAAATAAAAAAAAGTTAAAAACATTATCACATACATTATTAAATCACTCAGCTGATGTATTCACTCACTGGTTCAATCTCTGCAAAAATCAACTGATTTATGCTGTTTGAGTCTTTTTTAACAATTATTAACTGTTGTGTGCCTTTTTTTAACAATTAAATAAATTAATTTTCACAATTTTTACTGTTATATTATTTTAGGGTCATGCTCTAAATTAATACTCCACTTTTTTCCTTAAGTTATAATTAATAATTATGTGTTATTATTGTATTATTATAGGAGATAAATGCTAAGAAGAATTACTTGTCAACTTTACGAAAAGTTGCTGATGAACCAGCAATGGGTCAAAATGAAATTGATGCACTTAATAAAAAGGTTTGAACTTACTTTAGTTTTTTTTTTAGTAAAAAAATTGTTTATTTAAAATTTATATATATATATATATATATATATATATATATATATATATATGTATATATATATATATATATGTATATATATATATATATATATATATATATATATATATATACATATCTATATATATATATAATATATATATATATATATATATATATATATATATATATATATATATATATATATATATATATATATATATATATATATATATATATATATGTATATATATATATATATATATATATATATATATATATATATGTATATATATATATATGTATATATATATATATATATATATATATATATATATATATATATATATATATATATATATATATATGTATATATATATATATATATATATATATTGAAAGTTAAAACATCAAAAGCAGGGATGCTCAGGGATGCAGAGTCCCAAAAAGATCTGGACTTTAAATCTTTTTTTTTTCCTGATATTTGACGTCAAGGAGTTGCAAAAGTTTTGAGTGACATAATCTTGAATAAGAAAAAAATTAATGAGATTTAATGTCTTGAAACCTATTCTTTTTTTAGACCAGACTGCTGGGGTCTATGCTGCCATTATTCATAAGAACTCCGGGTTAAAAGTTTATTGTTCTTCTTCCCTAAAAATCTTTCCAAAAGTATTTAAAATTCATTTTTTGAGCTTCTAGATACCAAAATCCAAAAAGAAATAATCATTTTGTGACTTTCAAATTGGGATTCTTTATATAAACTATATATTATATAAATGGTTTTTTGATAAAATGTATTGATTTCCTATTTTTTTATTTTTTGTCTAAATTTTTACTTATTGCTTTTTAAAAATAAATTTTAAAAATGTACCAAAAATAGGAAGGCAAAAAATTTGGAAATCTTTTAAGTGAACTTTTGAAAAATGGTATGAAATTAAAAATCTTGGGTATTTGTTCCTTATTCACAACTTAAAAAGTTAAAATTATATAATGTTTAACTAAAATTAATTACTTAGAAATAGATACAACTTTTAATTTTGATTTATTTTAGATTAAGATATTATCAACTGAAACAAATTCACTAGTCGAAAAAAGAATGGCTAGGAGCGATCCTACCGATGACAAGATATCTGTATTTAGACAACAGGTATGAAAATTAAAATTGCTCAAGGAAAATTGAACAACTTGAAATCGTATAAAAGTTGTTCAACTTTTATACTATTTCAAGTTATATGTTTATAGATATATAAACTTAAAAAGTTATATGTTTACAGGGTGTTACCCAGTCTGATGGCACCGTGTATAATGCGGTATTCCCAATTGGTTTAAAATTCCCAAAGCCAATTGGTTTAAAATTTCCAAAGGTTTATAAGATCATAGTAAAAAAAAAAAAAATTAAGTCAGTCTCAGATTTAAAGTGTCCCGCTAGACTAGTAAAAATTAGTATGCATGACAAAAAAATTAATTAAATTTTTTTTTATGTGTAAAAAGGTGTCCTCATTAACAAGCGTCATTAACCTTAACAAGATCATTCATTTAAAAGTTTAAAAAAAACTTTTTTTTTTAATTTTTATTGACGTCACTTATTCTCGAGTTCAGATTTTTCAATATGTTTAATAAATTATTTTATTAATTTATTTTTATTATTCAAAAATTCTTTATTTAGGTTTTCGCTGTTTATCCTAAGTTTGGAAATTTACAAAGAAATTCGCATAATAATAAATATTATACTTTAAAATAAGTTAATAACGTTTTTATAATAAAAGATTTATTAATACTTTTGGTAAAATAAATCAGCTAGTAAAGTAAACCGAAGATAACAATGAAAATTAACAAAAATTAAGTTTGCAATGAAACATATTATCTGTGTTATATTTGCGTAAAACATAAAAGAAGATAATTAAATAATATTATAATATTATTAATTATTAGCCAATATTTATAAATACAATTTTTTTTTTTTAAATTTACAAATACAAATATTACGTAGATATTTAATGTATACTTGTAAATTAAAAAAGTAATAATAATTTTGTATTTAAATATATTTCTTATTTATATACCTAATTTACTAGATATTTAAATATGCCGATTAAATTTGTAAGTATTTAAATAGTTATATATTCAAATATATTTCTTCAGAACTAATCATTTAAACCTGTATTTAAAAAGCGAATTAGGCAATTAAAATAGATCAAAGTTTCAATGAAATTTAATAATTTATTCATTAAAACTGCAAACAATTGTCTTTTGTTCTTGTTTTCTCTCTACTATACTGCAGCCATTTTTCAAAACGCTTTTAGGTAAAAAAAAATCAATTTTGACGTTTTTACAAAATATGCTAGTTTAGATGTCTACAAACGTTATTGAATACATATTTTCAAAGTGTTCTAAAAAAATTCATAAAATTATTAGTTTCAAAAAGAGTTTCACAAAGACTTTCTCCTAATAATTTTTTTAATTGTGCTTTTCTTGAAATACGTAATTAAGGCGTTTTGAAAAACGGCTGCAGTATATAAAAAACAAAGAAAAGAAGCAATTTAAATAAACTTTAAATTTAAATTAAACTTTATTTTAATTTAAATGAAAACTTTAATTTTTCATTATGATTGCTCATAATGAAACAAGTTGATTAATTAAAATTAAGCATATATAAAGTAGAAAAATAATACTGCTGTAAATGTAATTCCGAGCAAAAATAGAAAATTTGTTTTGATTAAAATTTAATTGCAGAATGTAAGGACTTATTTTTTCCTGGGTAACACCCTGGTTTATAGTTTATTATGTTTATTATAGATATTATAGTTGATAGTTTTTAAAAGTTATATGTTTATAACTTATTACGTATAAAAGTCAGCTGTTAAGCATAATCAGTTTTTAAATAAATAATAAAAAATTGTGTATATATAAAAATAAGTTATGTTTAAAAACAGGCTGCTGTTATAGCCAACAAGAAGAACTCAGCTGCAGAAAGTTTGCAGGAAGCTATGGATGAGGTTGTTTTTTTTTTTCAGTATTAAAAATTAAAGTTGATATATTTCATTTTCGATTTAAATTTTAAACAAAATAATCATTTATTTTATATAGTATAGTTCAGTTGAATCTGATTTTAAAGAAAAAAGAGAAAAACTTAAAGATACAGATGGTGTTGAAATTCTCAAAGGAGAAGAAGTAATCTAATATTTAAAAATATGTATATATTTATAGTCAATAATTATGTTTTGTTGATAATGAAAATAACAAAAAATAATAGTAAAAAAACAAAGTGTTAAGATGCTGTTTTTTTTTAGTTTAAACGCTATGTAAACAAGTTGAGAGGGAAAAGCACTTTATACAAGAAGAAAAGATTAGAAGTAATTTTTTTTTTTTTTATAAAATTTTTCAAATATATTATTAGTATATTAAGTTTTATTTTATATTTATATTATATTTATAGTATATTATCTTTATTTGGTATCAACAAATGAAAAATTAATGATTTTATAATTACTGACTACAAGATTTTTTTGCACTGCTAGATATTTACTGGAGAAAGTATTCATGTGAAAATTAGTTTGATGTGGGTTAATCAATCAAAAATATTCTAGTGCTAATTAAATAGTGGCAAAAGATTAAAATTTCCAATTACTTTGTTTAATTAAACTAAACTTTTTATGTCATGTATAAATTCAAGATATATGTATATATGTGTGCATGTATGTATGTATGTATGTATGTATGTATGTATGTATGTATGTATGTATGTATGTATATATGTATGTATGTATGTATGTATATGTGCGTACATGTTGTATATATACATGTATATGTGCATATATACATGTATATGTGCATACATGTTGTATATATACATGTATATGTGCATATATACATGCATATATACATGTATATGTGCATACATGTTGTATATATACATATATATATTTGTATATATACATGTTACTGAAAGTTTCAACCTTTGAAGCACCGGAAATAAAAGAAAGTTTCAACATAACACTAATTTTAACATTCTTTATACAATAAAATCCTGGGTTGTCAAACACTTGTAACTTGAACTTTTGGTATCTTGAACTGTTTTATTTTTTTCTCTTAAAATTTTCTAGTTGATTATTATAAAAATTAGGGATAAGTCAAACCTCAGATAACTCAAACTTTGTTGAGTCAGTTTTCATCCTCTTTCAGCAATAACTCAAACTTTCCATATCGGAAATAAAGAAATTTACACAACCTAATTTTTAAAGAAGCCATCGCATATAAAACATAAATAACAGTAGTCTAATATTTTTACTTTTTTATTATTTTTTTATTTAGATTGTTATCATGCGTAAAATAGAGCGATAATAGATTTATTATAAATAAATCAATTTGAAATATCATTAAAAAAGTTTAGTTTTAATGAATTTTTTAATAAAAGACCACAAGCTTTTAGAAGCAATTTTATTACCAAATAATAAGGAAGTCAATGTGTTGCTAAACTTTTTTGAATGTCATCTTTTATGAATACAATTCATAACTTATTTCACTGAAACATTTTTAACACTTTTATAGTATAATAGTGTGTTTTTAATGTTTATACTTTAGCATTAAATGAAGAAAAATTGCCATAAACAGGACATATGGTTTTGAAGTGAGGGAGGGGGGGTACAATTGTAAATTTCTAAAAAAAGTACTCTTTATCTTAAAATTTTTAAAATAAAAAATCCTTTAGAAAAAGTGTATGAGATGGGGGGGGGAGGGAGTATGTACCCCCTGATATCTTATTTCAGTAAAAATGATATCTCATTAATATCTCATTTATAAAAATTAGGATTTATAGGATTATATCTCATAATAGGAATTAGCTTTAGCTGAGCATTTGTTAAGTTGAACCATTTTCCTATGTTCCTTAAAGATTCAAGTTATTGGAATTAACTTTATTTTTAAACAAACTAAAAAAACTAGTATTAAAAAATTGGAAATTTTTTGATGAAACTTCCCAATTTCGTCAAAAATGTCAGGTTCTTTTCTAATATTTTTTCTTCATCTACTCAACTTTAGCGCTGCTTACATTGATTGGACCGTACCAAAAATAAATTAAAATACTGTCTGTAACATTTATTGATGATAAATATGAAATCAATTTAGCGTGGAATTATATATTTTTTTATTATAAAATAATTAATGTGTATTAATTAATTATTATTAAGAATAATATATTTGATATACTTTTAATCTTACTATTTTGTTGCCATTTTTATGTTAAGAGTAATCTTTTGAAAATATATATATTTTTTTTTTTCAGTGATGGGCGTTCAAGGGCAACTTTTAAAGTAATATAGCAATTTTTAAAGTAATATAGCGATTTTTAAAGTAATATAGCGATTTTCTACTTCTAATTATTATCTAAATTTTGTTTGACGTCTTTATGGACGAACCCTTACACCATCATGTAATAAATTGTCACCAAAATAAATAATTTAAAAATAAGAAAATAAAAAGGTTTTGAAAACAGTAAACACAAGCTCCTAAATTTCATATTTCACATTTATTGTCAGTTCAATTTTATAATATATATTAACTTTCTTTATACATAAATCACATAGCAAAATAAAGTTACAGTTACAAAGTCTCAGCAAAAACAGCAAGAGTCGTTTAACTACAAAAGAATTACAAAAGATTGCAAGAGATTGCATGCTATCGTGGCAACAAAGAATACCAATAATTATTTTTTCATGCATAGTCATAAAATGTTAATATGACTATGATTTATTGAAACATTTAAATTTGCTTTAATGTTTTAAATTCAAGCAAGAAATGAATCTAGTTTTCTTGCTTTTTAAATTTCTAGTACTAGTTTGTTGTAATAAAAAAAACACATTCTAGCGTAGTAATACCAATAATGCCAATATTATTTAAAGTTTAAATAATATTGGTATTATTGGTATTACTACGCAATGTACAATAACATGAAGAGTGCATTACAAATGAAAAATCTTCAGTTATGGAAAGAAGATGCTCAAGATTGTATTTATCAGAGAAATGGTATTATGAAAAACTTTTTTTTTTTTTAAACATCTTTGCTTCCAACAAGGCTGAAAGTAACCACTATTGTTGGGAGTTGGGAGTTAATGGAAGAGAAAAGGTGAAGATTGTAAAGCAAGATAACGATTGACAGACAACTTAAAAGATTGCAAATTATATGAATCAGGAAAGCAAGATGAAGGAAGCAAATTCCAAAGAATTGATGTTTGAGGAAAAAAACTAGAGGAATAAGAATTTCTAGTGCATTTAGGATCAGTTACAGAAAAAGGATGAGACTTAATTGAATGACGAGTAACACGAAAATGAATTTTAGAAGATGGCACAAGAGATGTTAGCTCTTTAGAGCAGTGCCCATTATAGTATTTGTAGAAAAGAGAAAGAGAAGCAACATTAAAACGATGTAATAATGATTAGAGGTTAGCTGACAAATCGTTTTTGCACCTTGTCTAAAAGAGAAAGGGCATTATTAGAAGGTCCGCCTCAGATATGGCAACAGTATTCCATACAAGGCCGGATTTGAGATTTATAGAAATAGAGAATAGAATTCAGAGTAAGAAAGTGTTGAGCTTGATAAAGAGATGAATGCTTAACGAATGAAACCTAAACAAATGCTAGTTTTGCAATGATTGCATAAACAAGCTGAAGTAGTGATAATAATAATAATGATTACAAATTATACAATTTGCAAACTTGTTATTATGCTTAGATATGGTAACCATAAAACCAATAAATCAATTAATTTTATAGGTTTTTAAAATTAAAAAAACGTAATTTTACCATTTAAAGATCATAATCAACCTTATCATTTAAAGATCATATTTAAGGATCTGCAAAATTTTGAGTTTTTCCCACATATCATTTACATCAATTATTTTTATAATCAGATTTTTAAAATATATAAAAATTCAACCTAATTGTTTAAAGATCATAATCAACCTTATCATTTAAAGATCATATTTAAGGACCTGCAAAATATTGAGTTTTTGCCACATTCTTTATACTGATATCTATTATCGGTTTAAATTTAATATAATAATTGTTTAAAAAATAAAGGCTTTTTTTTTTATTCTAATTTACTCAAAACAAGTAACCACTATTAAGTTGGGAATTATGAAACAAAGAATAGAGTTAAAGAGCAACGAAACAGTAAACAGAAAGACTTGAAAAGGTTGTATCAGGAAAACATGAAGAGGGTTTTAAAAGTAGAGGGTTTCAAAAGTATTAAGTGGGGAAAAAGATGAATAAAATTTTTATAGCATGTAAGGACAGATACAGTAAATTAATGTGACTTAGCTGAATGATGAGTCAAACAAGAATGAGTTTTGGTTAAGGGACCTAGAGATAATAGCAGCTTTGAGCAGGTACCATAATTTTGTATTTGTAGAAAAGAGAAAGAAACACAACTTTATGATGATGAGAGAAAGGTTCAAGGAAATAAAGCATGTTCAAATACATTTACAATGTATTTTCAGACCTTGTCTAGAAGAGAAAAAGCATTATTAGAAGAACAAGCCCAAATATGGCAACAGTAATCCATACAGGGACAAATAAGAGATTTGTAGAGGTAGAGAATAAAATCAGAAGTAAGAAAATGGCAAGCACACTAAAGAGAAGCAGCCTTTAGCAATCGATTGTATATATGGTTTTCATGAAAGGTCAGTAATGAACAATAATCCACGAAGATGTAAAGAAGAGGACTCAATGGCAAGGTTGCCATTCATCAATATAGGAATGTCAAGAGTATTAAGATAGTTGCTTGCATTAAATAACTCTCATAGCACAAAAATGTTTTGTTGGAGTTAATTTCACAAGCCACTGCTAACCCAAAAGGTGTTACAGAAGTGAGATCAGATTCAAGATTGGTTAGCTGCTCTAAGCAATCAAAAAGAGAAAATGTTTTTCCAAGACAGGAGTTTGAGTCAGTTGAGTCATCAGCGAATAGATATAAAATACTTTAGGTAGGAGATTTTTTTACTATATAACCACAAACAAAACCAAGGATAGAGTTTTAGGTTAATCAGAAGTTACTGAAAAATAAAGTAAACTGTTTGCCTTTGAGGATGACATTTATGAAGCAGTTTGAAAGAAACCAAATGAAGCAAGCTTATAGAAAAGACCAGCATGCCAATTTTTATTGAAAGTTTTAGATATGTCAAGAGCAAATGCCACCTCCATCTAATGCGCGATGAAATCTTTTAGTCACAGCAGTTAACAAGTCAGCCATAGAGCGAGAGGATCAAAATTCGTATTTATTGTCTGACAATAAGTTGTTTGATTCATAATGGGATGTAAGAAATTTATTCACGATCAAAAGACTTAACAGAAAGACTAATAACAGAAAGACTTAACAAACGATAATTGGAAGGATCAAAATGTTCTGCAGAGTTTTAAAATTGAAACTACAAATACCATTTTCCAACAAGCAGAAAAACAAGGTTCAGTCAAGTATTTGTTAAATAGTTTATAGAGAATTAATGAGAGTTATGGAGAACACTTTCGTAAGACTATGACAGGAATTTTGTCTGGACCACAAGCTATAAAAAAGTTTTATGAAAGGTAGGTCTAACATTCCATCTCCCATTAATGAAAGATGGAATGTTAGACCTACTTTTGTTAATAGTGCTGTTTTCCAACATTTTTCAAAAGTATCTAGAGTCTTACTTCTGAAGTAAGGTGTGAGAATAAAATTTTTTTAAATGTGTTTAGCATCAGACAGCGCCTTTTTATATTGATTTATTTCAATAATAAAAAGGTATATGTTCTTAAGAGAGTTGTTCTTTTGAAAATGATGAAAAAATGATTACGATTAGATATAGCAGCTGTATAAGAAGTTGAAAACCATGGAGTAGAATGAGGCTTTACTTGGATCCAATGAAAGGGAATAATGCTTCCATTTCTGTCTGGATCTAGGAGGTTACATAGAAGATACATTTATCAGTAGAGAAAGAAAAAACATCAGCCCAAGAACTGTCACAAAGAAAATCATGAAAATAATCCTAGTGAGCTTTAGGGTAGTCGCAAGTAGTTCAATGATAGGGTTAGTCTGAAGAAGAAGTATGGTATGAAAGGTTTATAAAGATAATTGCGTGGTCATAGTTACCTAAAGGAGAACAAGGGGAAACTGGACACAAGCTAGAGACAAGAAAAAAATTGAAGAGTGAAGAAAGGTGATTAAGGTTGTCTAGAAAACGAGTCACAATGTTAACTATCTGAGTAAGAGATTGTGAGAGGCAGAAGTTATGAGTTTTAGTGCCAGCAGAGTCATTCAGGGTGAGTGGTGTTAGAGCCATTCAGGGTAAGTGGTGTTAGAGCCAAGCTATTCAGTGTGATGAGAATTAAAGTCTCTAATAACAACAGAGTAAAGAGAAAGGACAATATGATCAGAAATTACATCAAAAAGAGTGCAGTCTTGAGAAGTAGAAAAATGATAAAGAACAGTGAGAAAATAAAGTAAAGAGGTGCTAAGCGAAAGCACTTAAAAAAATAGTCAAAGAATTTAAATCCTAATTTCTTGAAATAAATAAAAGTAAATAAAAAACAAATAAGTGAATTGATGTGAAAGTATGCCCCCCAAGTCAAGCATGGGATTGTTAGAGTCTTTTTAAATCAAAGGGTAGTACCCATCAATGCTGAAATCTGAAAAAGGAACTACCAATTTTAAATTAGTCTCACAAAGAGCAACCAAATCTGGTGAATTTTGTAAGAGATAAGATTCAACTAATGGAAGGTTACTTAGAAGACCACAAGTATTTGTGAAAAAATATATTGAAACAGGTAGGTAGTGGGATTGTTTTTTATGTTTAATATTTTGGGTTACTTTGGGCATGATTTAAGTTTAAAGAGAACTCATTCATGGATAGAACATGGTATCCTAAGCAATAAGCTATGTAGTTGTCTCAGTCTTGCTAATTGAACCAAATTCGTCACTTAGGGCTCCTTATGTGGCCTTCACAATGCACATCAAAAGCATTAACAAGGACACTATTCATGCTCAACACAGCACTGCTGATACTCTGATGTTTTACAGCTTTTGATGGAATCAGCCTCTCTAAAAGCTACCACAGGGTTTGGAAACCTGCTTACCAGCTGGCCTCAGAACCATTAAACTGAGTTTTAGAGCTGTACCCTTGTTAGGAGATAACAGGAAAAGTTGCATAGCCACTATCGAGCAGGCTCAAGCAAAAATCTTTGAGTAGAGCTAAGAAGATCCAGCATTAATCATCCTAGACAGAAAACATAAAAGTTCTTCAAAATATACTCAAACTGAACAGCTTATTTGTTTTAAAAATTTGTTTAAGAAACAAGAAAAAGCTTTTACTCTGAAGGTTTGTTATTAAAATTTTGCTATTACTTTAAATGTTTTTTTTCCAATTTTTTGTTTCAAATTCGTACAAAGGAATAAGTTTTTGATAAAAAATCAAATTGAATAAAGAAATTGTTTCAGTCATACTAAACCACAATTTATCTAGATTTGATTTAAAGGATTCTCATAGCTAAAATCAAGCAAGACAAACTCAGCGTAATGGAGACTGTATAGAATTTAAACCAAAGAAATTTTTTTTGTCAACAGAAAGTTTTGACTATATACATCACAAAAATGTATAAATAACTTTTTTATTTAACTAATAAGTTTTTTTAATGCTATATTTTTTATATTTGTAAAAGGCAAATGATTTATTATCATTTATTTATTTTCATTCCTGATATTTCTTGACCATTATGGTGTCTTTTTTTTTTTTTTATTTTGAACTAGCTATAAATTCTTTACTTTTTTATTTGTTTTTTATTTTATTTTATTTATATTTTTTAAATTATGCGTTCATCTTTCTTCATTTTCTATTAAGAGTTTCTATTGCTTTATCATCTATTTTTATCTCCTTGATATTTAATTATGCATATTATCTCTTTAAAATATTGTGCAAAAATATCATGCATAAAAATAAGATGCATCGCTTTACTTCTAATAAAGTACTATAAAAATAAAAAGCACTTCTATTTAAGCTATTTATTAAAAGTAATGTAAGTATATTTGTGTATGTTGTAATGTATATCATGATAATAATATAATTTTTTAGCTGTCTGAAATTCAAGCTGAAATAGGTGTGTTAAGCCGTACAAAAGAAATATTACAGTCAAAAGATAAACAAACTCAAGCCTTTTTAGTGAGTCATTTTTAAAATTTTTGTATTTTGATTATAAAAACTAATGTATCTATGAAAAAACACAGTTCTATTATTGAATTCTTCAATGATGTTAAAAGTTGAATAGTTGTAATATTTTATCGAAAATTGTATTATATTTAGTTACTTATTTTAATTATGCCTATTGATTGCTACTATGCCTTGCAAAATTTTAGACTTAGATAAGAAAGTTTTTTTTCTTACCTGTATCTAAAAATCATTTAATAGTGCAGGGACATATTTATTTATAGTTAAAATCATTTTATGTGCCAAGACATATCTACTTAAAATAAATAAATAAAAACATCAAATAAATCTCATAAAAATAATTAAATATAAACTAAGTAGATGCTAATCTTATTATAAAGACAAAATACCAAGTAAATAAAATGTAACTGTAAACTTTTTTTGATCAAAAAAGTGAACTCTATCTCAAGACTTAACTTTACACTTTATAACTGTCAATAATTATTTAAAATATTGATGGTATTTTTTTTTTTGGTTGTTTTTACTGAATTTGTTTTTATAATTGAAATAAAAAAACACAATGTTTTTCAGTGTTGTGTTATTTTATTTCGATTTTCTTAGTCAAATCTTGAAGCAAAACATGGTGTATCTGGTTTTCACAATACTAAAGAAGAACTTGAAAAAGTGTCTACTATTAAGAGTGAATTGGATGAACAGAAAGGGAAAACACTGGAAGATATATCCAAAATGGTATGATGATCATAATTATGTTTAGAATCACAATGATGATGATGGTGATGATGATAATGATGATGATGATGATGATGATGATGATGATGATGATGATGATGATGATGATGATGATGATGATGATGATGATGATGATGATGATGATTGATGATAATGATGATGATGATGATTTATTTAGGTAAAATTATTTTTTAAATGATACATGATGAGGATAATGTTGATAGTGGTGATAATGATGTAATTTTTTTAGGTAGTGCAACTCACAAATACAATTGCTCAAAAAAAGAACTCTCTTGCGCCAATCATTGTGGAGTTACGACCTTTAAGACAACAATGTCAAGTAGATATTTTTTTAAATTTTTTGTTTCCTAATGTATCATGCATAACATATGTTTACTGCTGAATTTCATATTTTTTACAATGGTTATGTATTTAGCAATCTTTTTATAATCCAAATAATCCTTTTTTAAAACCTTAAAAAAAATAAAGTGAATATATTTTCTTTAATTTATTTATAAAAAATATAGATAATACAAAATGACCTTGGTATGGTTACTTTAGATTCAAACATTTATATCAATAATTTTTTTTGTGTGGAAATACTGTCTAATGTGTCCTTATGTTGTAAAAAAACAATGCAATTTAAAACTGACAACAAAAGATCTTTTATGCTATTTGATAATTTTTGAAAGTATTGCTAATGTTGATGACAAGATCTACACAACAATTGCTTATTTGAAATTTTTATTTTATTTGTTAATTTAAAAACAATTAATTTGAATATTATCAAATAAGTATTATTCTTTATTTAATCACATGCACAAAATCAATTTTAATATTATTTGAAAAAAAAACTGTAAAATTTAGATTACAAATGCTTTTTTTAAACTTATTCTTAAATTACTGTAAGTTACATGATAATCATTCGCACAAAGTATAAAAAATCAAATTAGATCAGATATCACATTTTTTAATAATTTATGAATTTATAGAAAAAAATGTTTTGGATTCGGATAAATTTGGTTTCTGATCCGATTTGAATGGATATCCAGATAATCAAATATCCGTTAAAATCAGATAAAATTTTGATTTTTAACTATCCGAAAAATTGATATCAGATTTGGATTTTAACAAACCAAAGCAGATAAACACACAAACTGTGTATAGCAAAGCTGTACACAGAGTGTGTGTAATGTGTACAGCTTTGCTATACACAGTGTGTGTGTGTTTGTGTGTGTGTGTGTGTGTGTGTGTGTGTGTGTGTGTGTGTGTGTGTGTGTGTGTGTGTGTGTGTGTGTGTGTGTGTGTGTGTGTGTGTGTGTGTGTGTGTGTAATGTGCTATACACAGTGTACAGCCTTTCAAAATCCAGGTTGGCATTTCAGAAATGCGGATGCAAAAGTTGATCTATTTTTGCTTTACTATGGCATACAGTTGAAAAAAATACACGTAAAATCATTCATAACAAACATAGCAAGGTCATTAAAGTTTATTAAAAAGTCAATAAAATTTACTTTTCAAATATCTGTTGTATGCTTTTTTGCTCGAAATGTTTATTATGTTATTAAGTTCATTATGTTTATTATGTTATTAAGTTCATTATGTTTATTATGTTATTAAGTTCATTATGTTTATTATGTTATTAAGTTCATTATGTTTATTATGTTATTAAAAGAAGTTTAAGTTTTCACTATGCATTTTTTTATATAACTATATAAAAATTTTCATAACATGACATTTTCATATAGTACTATAAAAAAATTAACAAAATTTTTACGACATGACATTATTATATAGTACTATAAAAAAATTACCAAAATTTTTACGACATGACATTTTCATATAGTACTATATAAAAAATGTCTACATAGACACTTAAGAGATTTTTCCACATGCTTTGTTGTTCAAGGTCAATTTTTATACAATGTTATAGCAAAAGGAACATTAAACTTTTTCCATTTTGCTGATTTCGTTCAGAGATTTAAATAAATGGACAACTCAGGCTTTATTTTTGACCCCTGTATGGAGAGCTTAACCATAATTGATTACCAACAAGAAGAACAAGAAGATATCACTCAATAATTTAAAGATATTCTTTTTCTCTCTACATATATATTTATGTATATATAGATATTATGGTGCCTTAAAGCCCCCTTTAGATAAAAATCTCTACTCTGTGTTTTTAATGTTAAATCAGTTGTCTAAGGGTGCCGCAAAGTAGTATATATTGCTCTTCAAAATAATTAATACATTGAACTCAGCATTTCTTATTTCAAATAATGTTTCAAAGGTAAAAAACTAAAACATAGTGTGTACTGACTAAAAAAAATTATTTATTGCATGTTTATAGCTTTTATATTACTTTCTTGAAAGTCGAGTTTGCAAAGATTTTACTGACGCTCATTGCACAAATCTTATAATATATCAAGTTGTTTGAAAACACTTGCATATTTATTTTGTTATTAATAAATTTTAGATTATAAATTTACTTTATAAACGAAGATTGCATGTGTAGTATATGCTTAAGGCATTATGTGTGATATCTTTTTAATTAGTGCATATGTATTGACATGTTGTGCATTATGGCATTATATGTGACATCTTTTTAATAGGTGCTAATAAGCAAAGTTATCTAGTTATTTAGGCTGTGTTATTTAAATGTTTTCATCATCTAATTAAATGCCTCCCGCATTTGTAACACTTTTGCAAATTTATGTTAAGCACGTTTATTTTGCGTAAAATATTTGTCACATAAACAAACTCAGACTGTTTGAAATGTTTAAGTTTTCACTTTAACTCACCTCAAGGTAAGTAATTATGGATGTAAATTTTTTTAATATATAAATCATTTACTTTAAGTAAATAATTATTTGTTTCATAATTATCTATTAAAAAATTAGAACAGCACTTTAAGAGAAATACTTTAATCTATGTGCTGGGGTTGGTTTTTGTCAAGGACCAAACGAAGTATAATTATTAGACCAAATGCTAGCTCTGGCCATAGTGGCAACATTGGTAAAAATGGAGACGTGAACTTCCTAGTTAATGCTTTTGTGTGCAGTGACAAGATTGTTAGATCTTTTTATAGCACAAACCAGATAAAAATAAATTAGCTATTTATTACATGTTTTTACAGTTTATCATCTGATAAAATTTGGTTATATATATCTTTATAAATAAATATCTTTATTATTAATAGTTTAATACTGTTATAAATCATTTATTTTGTAGGAGATGACAATAGAGTATGATGAACGCAAATCTGTATATGAAACAACTGCAGCAGGCTTAGAAAGTAATATTTCAAAGTTGGATCAGGTATGAAATCTAAATGTTTTAACGCTAACAATGTATAATTATCTTTGTTTATTTATGTTTAATTATTTGGTTTTTTGGTTTTTTGTTTTGTTTTTTTCAATAGATATTCAAACAATTTTTTTTCTAATTTATATGATTTAATCAAATCATTACTTACACCAAAATATAAAATCAACTAATTAGGAAAATATAATTGCTAAAATATGCTACACAATAAATATTGCATATTTAAAAAATTAGTTTATATAAAAATATTTTTCAATTAAAGCCTTTTCAGTTACTGATAGATATTTTAAATACTAGTTTAAGTTTTGCCTGTAATTTATTTAATTTCTCCATATATTTAATATAAGATCAATATTAATAAAATAAATTGGAAAAAGTTTGCTTGGTGAATTTACAAAAAGTTGTGGGGTTTACAGTAATTCACTGAATGATGAGCTTAATACAAATAAAGATTCTTGAAGAAAACTATTTTTAATGAATATATGACCAGAATCATGGTTATTTGGAACCATGAGTATTTAATTTTTGTGTTATCTTGGAAATAAGTGGAAGAATACCAATTTTATACTTTTGATACTTGAAAAATTAGGATAAATAAATTTCACTACTCAACAGTATGTTGTTTAGACTCCTGGCAAGATTATGGAGTAGTAGCATTTGTATCATCAGAGATATTTGGAAACATTTTAAAAGTAATTATAAGTAATCATATGCTATTTATGATTTATGTTTAAAGTGTCATTGAAAATAATTGGAAACAGTTGTATGATTAACATTTACAAGGATTATAGGAAATAATTGTTTGAATAATGTTTAAAATATCATAGAAAGTGTGGTTAAAAGTTAGAGTGGCAGAAAGTTTACTTAAAAAATATTGAAAGCACTAATTTTTTTAAATGTTTTTGTTATTAGTTTTTAAATTTTTTTTTATTTTCAAGGAAGTACGGGGATCTCATGAAGATGTTTTAAATCTAGAAAGAAAGTTTCACCAGCTCAATGCTATGATAGAGGTACTGAACAATTTCTGTTTATGATGGAGAAAAAACAATAAGTTTCTGTTTATGATTGAGAAAAGACAATAAGTTTTTATTTAAGATTATTAAAACATTAGTTTTTAACTTTTCTTTTCCATTAGATAACTGATTTGCAAATGAATCGTATAGAAGAAGAAATGAAACTGTATGTTTTAAATAACTCAACAAAAAAATCTTACAGGTATTTTTTTTGTTTTTTTTGTTTTTTAATTATCTCAATGACTTTATTAATTTTTTTGAAAATTTTCCCTCTCAGCCTAAGCTTTTTAAGATCCCCCCATTTATAAATTTTTACTTGTTATCAACAAAAAATGAATTTCTTAAAACTTAAAAAAAAATCCTTGAAAATCCTTAGAAATCCGTACAAAAGACGAGTATACTCATCGAACGAGACTCTCCTTTTGTATGGGCTACGAGTATACTCGTTTGAGTTTAAATGCTAATAATTTTTTATTCTGAAGGTTTTATTCCTAAAAAGCGCTTTTAAATCTTGATTTAAAAATCCATCAGTTATGTTTTTACACGAAAGCATATATTTGTCAATGTTTCACTTTATCTTTGATTTTAAGTAAAAGTATACTTTTTACAGTTTTTATGTAAAAGATTTCGTAAATACTCATACATAAGGGTTTTTTTCAACTATTTCTTTATTTAAAAAATTACTGAATTTAAGATAAAATTTATATATAAGTATCATATATTATCTACATCGCTTAAAACCATTTATTCTTCTTGTGTTTCTTCTATGTTTTGGTGATATAACTTAAAATAGGAATCTATACATATTTTTTATACACTGCTCACATTTCTTTGTAGGTTTTTTTTCCCTTTTGATAGAATTGTTAATGGGTAATGGAAACTTGCCAGAGGTCTTCTTGTAGATGCTTTTACTTTTTGTTCTCTAATAAAAAATTTATGATATTCTCTCAAAACTCAACAAGATAGCAAAACTCTTTATTTTTTAAAATTTGGTAAAAAGGTAGAAAGAATTATTTAGCATCATTTCCAGGATGAGGATTTTTGTACCACCCTAAAGTTTTTCGGAGACTGGAGTGATAGAATGACCTCTTTACACTTTGATCAATACCAGACATTGATTTTTTTTTTTTTCCCTATGGCAGTTGGTAACTTTTACCATTTTTGGAACTTGGGCGTTGGATATGGTTGGCACTTCTCTTTTGTCTTTCTATTTACAAACTGTAACGTCATTTTGAGACCTGCAAAAACCTCTGTTATCTTTAATCTTCCATTTTTAATCAACTCTGGGTTCTGTTTTCTGTCTTTCTTGAAAGTCTCTGATTTATTCCAATATATTTTTTTATCTTATCATAATCATGTTTTAACTAGTCTGGAAACGCGTGCCGTTTTCTTAAAACACTTAAGTTCCTCTCTATACTAGTGATCAGCCTACTTTAGAGTGCATCAAATTGTAAAAATTGTATTTAAGTTACATATATTCTGGGATAAATATTGATATGGCAGGAACAAATTGTGATTTTTTTGGTTATTTAGTTTCAAGTTAATATTTTGAATTGCATATATATTTCATATTCCGAATAAAAATGATGAATATAGCATAAAATAAAGACATCAACTGTTGATAAATTTAGTTATGTGACAGAGTTTGTAGTGGTATAAATATGCTTATTCAACCATATAGCTTATATCATATAAGCATTTGAGTTATATACTATATGAAAATATGTTATAGATGCAAACATTTCATCGACTGTATAACTTGATGGATGTATATGGGTATAAATGCTTTGTATTATATTCAGAGTATATTTATTTAAAATGTAATAGAGCTTAATAAATTCTATATTCTATATATAGTTTACTTAGCTGGATTAGTTGATAATTTATATATCACTCTTTACACTATGTTGGTATCTTTTCTGGAAATAAGAACAATCAGGTACAATTTTATCATTTTGAATGGTTTCAAAGCTAAATTAGATAATGTTGGTATCATTAAAGATATGTGTTATCCCCTTAATACAGCATATTTATCTACCTTAGAGAGAAAATTATATCTTAATTATTACCTAAATTATATTAAAAATTATGATTTGTTTAATTTTCTACCTTACAAGGAAAAAGATTTTTACCTTTAAAGATATAATTTTTTACCTTGGAAGGTAGAAAATTTTACCTTACTATGTGCATATCACATATTTTACCCTACGGTAGAATTTCTACCTTTTTTACAAGTGCTATACTAACAATAAATGTTGTTTAAAAATGTTTTTCTTTTTTTATTAATAAGTAAAAAACTTAATCAGTAAAAAAAATTAGAATTTTAATAAATACTTTAATAATAGCTAGTATATCAAAGCTTCTTAAACTAAAATTCAAAAGCTTGTATATAAATTTTTGTTTTTATTACTCTGTATTGCAATTTATATAATAGCAAATAAAAAAATATACTTGATGCAATAAAGATGATGCAAAAGTCTGCTACCAAATATTGCATCACTATCATACATAAATCAAATTTAATTTAGTTTTAAAAAAAGTACAGTGTATTAAAAGAAGATTACAGAATTTAAAAATTACAGTGTATTAAATTAAGTTACAAAATTTTATTTTAAATCTTTATTCAAAATTATTTTAAAATTTTAAGCTATAATTTAATATCTATTTTGTTGAATGCAGAAAAATAATATCTCAAAATCTAAGGTTATCTTCTAAAATAAGATATTTCATATGTAGTTTCAAAGTCAGCTGCAGTGTATAATGGTATACTTGACTAATCTAGATGATATACTTGACTTTTACAACTGGTGCCACTGCATGATAAATGTTTCATTTAAAATGTCTTTTCTTCCAACAAAAGTTGTTGAAAAGGCATTTTAAATAATTCATTTATGCCTAATCCACCACATTAAAATAAGACAACTCGTTACTGTCTTATTTAAATATAACTTATCCAATTTAAAACATATGGAAAAAAAGATATATGTAAGGATGGTAAGTTTATACATTGCTTATATATTCTATGAAGGCAGAGAATGTGGGCTTTGTATTTTACCTTAACGTACTTTTGAGCATATAAAGTTGACAAAATATTTATTAAAAAGTGTTAACCTTGCTGCCTAAGTAATAAGTTTTTGCTGTATTAAAAATTTTATTGCATTAAAGAATAACTTATTTGCAAGGGTAACCCATCATTTAATGACTTTCAATAATAACAAAATAAAAAATATTTTTAGTAGCTGGAAATGTAATGTATTTAGCTACACGGGTATTATAAAGTGATAGTAATATAGTATTAAGTCATGCCAAACAAAAAAAAAATGTTATTAGAATTGTTCAAAACTAAATATTTTTTATATATGTAAAATAGTAGTGTTCTCATTATTATTTTAAAATTAAAAAGACAATTATATTATTTTTATTATTCAGTCTTTTATTGATATTTTATTATAAAGTTACCTCACCATAAAACTATTAAATATAGATGAAGCATTTATTGTACTACTCTAGGAGCTAATTATATACCAAGAATATTTTTAAAAAATATGTGGCTATGAAAATAGCCGTTTTAGTTGTTTCAAGTCATCTCACTTTCTCTATAATATTCTTGTTCCAAAAGAGAGGGTGTTTCTTAATTGATGTTCTTTTTATATCAATTTAGTTTGACTTTTTTGAATTTGAAAGCTTTCAGGTTATAAATTATGCAATGTACAATCTACGAACTTGTGTGTAAAATGTTAGATGATCATGCATACTTAGCTGCAAGCAAATACGATAAACACTGCTCATTATACAACTTAGACATGTTAGAATTAAAACCAATTGTAAAAATATTCCCACTAAATCATAATAGAATGTTTTGTTTAGTAATATAGAGGGATACATGCTTAAATGTTATAATATCATTGATAAAAGAGGTATCAGTCAGATAAACAAAGACAAGATTTGCTACTTCAAAACATGAAAAAAATTGTTTTTCAGAAAACGTTTTGTAGAATCGATTCTATGAAATATTTTTTGAAAAAAACAATTTCTTTCATGTTTTGAAAGCATTCTTATTTTGAATGCTACTTCGTGTTCTTTCATGTTTTGAAGTAGCATAAGTAGTGATAATTCAGCAGTAAAAAATTTCAGCATTTCAATCAAATGAATCAGTTACATTTTTACTAGGAACTAAGCTGTAATAACTTCTTCTTTAAAGAATTAAAATATTTATACTTGATTTTAAACTTTTAATCTCAGCTTGTAGCAAAGTACCATTTATCTGAAGCAAGCTTTACCGCAATCTTGAATAAATAATTATAAAATCTAATAGGATGAAGAATAATCTTTGCTTTTATTTATTCTTTACTAAATGTTTATCCGTAATCTTGTCCTTGTGCTTGGTGTTAAGGTGACGAGTCCCTGTGTGATATACATCGTTTCTTGAAAAACAAACACATAAATATTCTTTCTTCACTTTCGTTAGGATAAATTAAAATAGGTAGTCTAATGTTTAAACTAAAATTGAGATCTGCTTCCAACAAATAGCAACTCATAAGCAGCTAAAACAGCATCGAATTCATTCAAATTTTTAAAGTTTGCGCTACAAAAAGTCATTTTAAAAACATTTGATGCGCTCTCAGTCCGGTCACCTTGAGGGGTCAAGTTATTTTACGAAATCTATAGAAAATAACCCGCATTTCCAGACTAGTTAAATACTATGATTATGATCTCATAGAGATTGACATCTTTCCATTGGCTCCATAAAGATATACATTGTAATTGCCTTACTGTATTAACAACTATGTCATATTTATTTATTTTCTGTAACAAATATTGAATTCTAGCAGTAATAAAGCAACTCAATTGGCTTTTTTTGCTGACAAGTTTACTTGTTTTTCGTACTCTGTATAAAAACTTCATGCGTGCTACAGAAAATGACTAGCCTTGAGTGTATTAGTTTTCTATAGAGCACATAAAGCCATGTTCTGCACTACTAGGGTGGTTCTAAAAACAACATTTTTTGAAAATGTCTGATGGCACCCCCTAAATGTGTTCTATGTAATAAATTAATACTACATTTAAAAAGTTTTTAAATAAAAAAATTTTAGGGGTTGCTCAAGACCCTTAAACATCAGACAGATCCCTATTATTTTGAAAAAAAAAAAGTTCTTTAAAAGCATATCATGTTGGTTCTTAAAAGAATTGAAATTTTATAAAAATTTCAAAAATAAGTTTTCACAAACTGACTGAAATACATATAATTTAAAAGAATTAAATCCTTCCCCCCCTCCTCCTTTCTTTTTCTCTCTCTTTTATTAGGAACCCATCATTACCCCCTACTTAAGGACTTGAGAGTACTAATGTAACCATTATAATAATAATATAATATAAGCAAATATCTTAGAATCCTGGCCACTAGACATTGAGTTAATGAAAAAATCAATAAAAAAAGTAGAAATTGGTAATCAAATAATCAATTTTCAGAATTTGGATTAGTGTTTTAACAGACTGAAGTAAAACCTTTTTTTTATGTAATGATGTTTGACTTTTTTTTCTAATTGTATTAATACTTGCTTAATCAACTCCCCACCCCCCACCAACACTCCCACCCCTCCTGTCCAAAAGAACAAGCGTACATAATTAGCATCTGATTTGAAACATAACAATATTATTTTGTTTATATTTCTTATTGGTTTGCCTGTTAAAATTTAAATTTTATGAACTACAAGACATGTAGTTCATAAAATTTTGAAAGTAAAAATTTTAGCATTTTGGACCCATAAAATACGGATCTTGGTAAGTCTACATCGACCATTTCTATACCTTATTTCAGTATTTTTTAGTAAGCTGTAAAAAAAACTACACATATTGTCTACCTTATGTATAGTTATAAATAAAGAAACAATTGATAGCTTTTAAACACGTTAGTAGTAGTTAATTGTGCGAACTGCTATTAAGTGGTAGAAATTTAAATCTTTGTTTTGAATTAACAATTTATGTTCAATACTTTATAACTTCTTATTGTAAAATTCTCTAAAAAAAAGGTACAGACTTATAATTTTTTTTTATTATTAGGTTTCTATCAAGTTTTTGTTAAATTTTGACATTGTACTTTGGAAGTGCAGCAAGCTAACTACTTTGGCCATTAAGACACACTAAACTGGCAATTTTTAACACTATTTAAAAAACAATATATGAAATAACTTTATAAAACAATAAATAAATGCTTGAAATTAAAATTAGAGAGATTTTGCCACAATCTTTAAATAAAAGTATTATAAAATATATAATATAAAACTATTATAAAAGTAAAAATATCTTCAAAAAACTTCAAAAATATTTTATTTTTTAATTTGGAAAATCAAAAGAGATTAAAAAAAAAAAATGGAAGAGCAAGGACTTGAACCATAGCATTTCACTTCATTACGCTGCAATCTAACTAATTGCCCATTTAGGAGTAATGTTTGATGGAAGTTTTGAAACTATTTAATAAACAAAAGATTTTTAAAACAGCAATTTAATGCTATAAATCAAAATTAAGGAAATATTGTCAATTTTAACATAAAAGTAAAACTGTAAAACTTGATATATGTTTTAACTACATAATTTGAAGTTTACATAAGTTAGATATTTGCATACACTTTCGTTCACATTTTCTGATGCAAAAAGTGCGGAGACTCTATTTTGCCATTAACTAAAAGCTTAATGGCTGCTGTGACTTCCATGTCAAATGACTTCCATGTCAAACACTCACAAATGAGTAATGACAGCAGCATTAAAATCAGTATTAGAATATTATATGCTTTTTGAAAACAATAAGAAGTAAATCTAGTTTAAAAAAACGTCTCCTTAACTCCTTCATTCTTACATTTATAATACAAAGATCTGTCAAATATTTATAAAAGTAGTTGTATTCCAAGTATTTTTAATAACATTATTATGACATTTTTAATGATCCAATATCAAATGCAGATATGCTGAACAATAAATTTTACAATGTTTAAATAATAGAAGGTGGTATACCTAAATTTTTTTGTTGATTTAATAGTAACCAAATTGACAAGATTTCATCAACTTTAAATCGACAAGAAAAATAATTTGATGTTTCTACTATCACTCTTAAAAGTGTTAATATAATGTCGTTTCACATCAAAAAGAACTTTATAGGTTAAGCGTAAAACGTCTCATGAATCTTAATGCATTATAACATAATTTATATACAAACTAATTCACTTGATATTTACAATTGTCTTTACATTATATACAAATACGCCTATAAACACATACAATTATTTACAAGTAACGCTAATTAATTGAGAACTTTAAAACAAACATTAATTACATTTACACATTACACATAAAATTTTATAAATCAAAAGAACTTTTTTCAAAATGCTAGAATGTATAGAAGATAATGAATCTATACATACTTGCATATTGCCTCATTTAAAATTCATAACTACAAATTTTTCAAGTTTACAGATTGTTAGTAAGCAGAGTTATACTACTTATAAAGTTAAATAACATCATTGCAGTACTTTAATGCACCATTATGGAGTTCTTTGACAGAAGAAGTTGTAAACAAATTCTTTGAAAAATTTTTGTAATATTTATGATTATAGTTTATATTATAGTAAACTTCTAATAAACTAGAAAAGACTTTTAAAGTGGGCAATTTACACTTCAACTTGCAATTTACACTTCTACCAGCAATTTACACGTTCTTCTACCAGCTTTGATATTAGTCTATATTTGTTTTGTTTGTAACTGTTTCTTTTTTAGCTGGCTAAAAAACAGTTTAAAGCCAAAAAAAAAAAAAAACTTGATTTTTTTTATTAATGGTTAAAAAAAAACAGTTTAAATAAGAATATTCATTTTTATAGAGATCAGTATACTCAGAAAATACATGAACAAGAAGTGCTTGGAAAGGTAAATTTATTTGTTTTTTTATTATTTATCTATTTACTATGATATGTTGTTTTTTCATCTACTATTTCATTATCTACTTCATCCAAGAAGAGTGATGAGTTCAATAGTATCAAATCCATATACTGTATATATTTCATATAGATTTTTGATAGTATATTAAAATTATAACACATAAGTTCATGATGTGGCAACATTTTGGAACAGTACATTAGACATGCTTGAAAGAGAGCTTGAAAGAGAATAAAAAAGCTCTGCTTTCTGTCACTTAAGTGCTAAGTTCATAAAAGAAATGCGAAATACAATTGTTGATAATCTTAAAAAAGTAGTAAAGTTTATGCACATTGCCAAGGATGTTATGTTGGATATTTCAAATTGTGTTGCTTTGAATTTGAAGGTTCACCTTATGCTAAACAAACTCTTTAAGGGTTGTATAGTAAATTACTAATTTACAATAAATAAATTTTTTATCTCTATAATAAATTACAATAATTATATAAATTATATAATTAAAATAAATTTCAAATTTATTCTAGACATAAAAATGTTTTGAAAAATATTTTAATAAAAATGATTTTTGGATGGTAGAAATATTAATAAAGTATTCAGCATGCCTTTGCATCTTTTGTAATTTACAAACTAAATTAAAAGATTTAAATAGTAAATTATTAAAAAGAGCTGTGTTGATGTTTTAAAAATTTCTTTGACAAAGATAATTAAAACTCAGAGCCGACGACACGGGTTTCGAAGTGGGAGCACTTCGAAACCCTACTTTTTTTTCAAAAAAAAAAGTAGGGTTCCCCCGGTGTCGTTGGCTTGAAACTAATTTAAACAAAAAAAAGCTTTCAACAAAAGTCATTAAACTTTTCATTCAAAGTGATACACAATCTACTTACCGACAAGGAAAGCATACAATACTGAACAAACTATTTATCTTCAAAGAAATTTTGACAATGAAAACACTATTGCTCAAACACAATCACAACAGAATTACTATTGCACTTCATTTTGGTATTATTTTCGTAATTATTTATTTGGTTTATCCTCCTCTAGCTAATTGCTATAGAGAGGTCACATACCAAGACCCGCGAAGACGAGTTCAGCCCACTAAAGAGTAGTGTAGTTTATATTATTTTTATGTAAGATATAAAAAAAGGATCATTTATTTTACTTTTTTAAATTTCTCTGATTAACAGTCACTTAAAGAGCAACAAAAGTATGTTCGTGAAAGTCATGGTCCAAATCTACTACAGATGAAAATGTGGAGTGTAAATAAAATATTTTATGATTAATTTTTTTTTTGGTGATAATTTTTGCAATAGTTTTTCGATAAAATATGTTGTGATATTTTATTTAATATTTTGAGGCATATCATATTTGCTGTGCAATATTGTACTTTTTGTTGCAATTTTTTTTTTACTTTTATGCTGTGATTCTAACAATATTTGCTTTATAGGATTTATTGTTGCTTATGAAAGCCAAAAAAACTGTATCGGACCAAAACGTTTTTCGAGACAAAAGTCCGACACATTATGAACAAGATCATTTGGTGTTATAATACAGATCATTGGTATTTGTGAGGCGGTTTGTGGTTATAATGCAATTGATGCTGTATTTTTAAGATTTTAACTTTTAAATCTGATCTTACCTAATCTTATGAAATCTGCTTGACCTTTTAAAACCTTTTGTAAATATTTTGTAGATTTTTTTTGTTAATGTAAGTAATTTATTGTGCGTTGCATGATAATTTATTAAAAAGTTTTATTAAAATTATAATAATATATTAAATACACATATGATTGACTATTGCACTTCAATTATGGCTTTTAATACTTTTTATTATCTAATATTTATCTACAATCACTTTGAGATGCTTTAAGTCTTTTTTCCAATAAATTGACACTAGGGTTTTATTTTCTAATTATTTTGACTAGTTTTCTTTTTATGACATTTCAAAGTTTTATATATGCGTTAGTCAGCACATGAATTGGTTGCGGTTAAGATGACGAAGAACCAGCGTGTGATCTTTGTGATCTTTTGCTGTATTAACAAGGAATTGCTGTCAACAACTTTAACATCTGCTGGCGGCAACAGTGGTCCGATACCAAAAAAATAGAAGTTAAATTTAGATAAAAGCATCAAAAAAATAAAATTTACATAAAAACAACTAAAACACTTATTTTCTAAATATGCTCACTTTTGATTTTGCAGGATTGTTTGTTTAAACAACTTTCAAAAAGTCCTTACGGCCTTATCACAGAGCACTGCGGACGAGCATTTGAAAGAAAGTTTATGCCTTCTTCCTTACCGATGTTTTAAAACTTGCCCAGAGATGGCGTTGAACCACGGATCTCTAGCTTCTGAGGCAAACGCGTTTATCATTGCACTATGGCTGCTCATTTTATTACTAATTTGAAAAGTATATGCATTTAAATATTTTTAAATGATTAAGGGTAGAGAGGTAAAAAGCTAATTTTTAAAATTCGTTATTGTTACTCTTTTTAGTTTATTAAAACTCTTAAATACATTAAGAGAAGTAGTTTGCTGAAAATCCATAATACGTTAATTTTTTTTATAATCGCGTTTTCGAGGAAAAAATCTAAGTTTGAATTCAACATGAATCTTAAAGGTAATACAACAATCTAGCTTCTCGAATTTTTCAATAATTTTTGCAACCAGTTTACAGTGATTTAGAAACTCTTAAAATAAGTTTTAGAAACATTTAAAATAAGTTTTAGAAAAATTTAAAAAATAATAAAAAAAAATATTTAGAAACACTTAAAATAAGCCTAAAGCATAGTTTTTCGAGTAGCGCAATTTAAATTTTACTAGCTAACTTTTATATAAGGGTATGAAAAAAACAAATACTGAAATAATGGATTTGAAGCGTTAATTTGTTTGAGAGTAACCAAAAGGAGCATTTTTTTATCATTAAAATTTTATCTTTATTAAAACTTAATTTTAAGTTTTAATAAAGATAAAGATTTTCCTAAACACAAAAACCGTTTGTTTTGTATTTAGGAAGATAATTCTATGTTAATTTATGAAAATATTTGAATATGTATTTATACATGATGTAAAAAATGCATTAAAAAAAAATGCAATTTTAACGAACTCAAACTGATTTTTATGAACCCAGGACTTTTTACCTTTAATTTCTTTTAACGTAATTAAACTTCAATTTTTATGTTTTGAGACTTTTTTACAGGGGTTTTTTTTATATAAATATAATAACGTCAGTTAAAATTTTATATATTTTTTAATATTTTAGTCAAAAATTTTAACCGACGCCATTATATGATTTTCTAAAAACTATTTTTATTTTACGCCTGTAATGTCTTATTTTTTGACGGTTTGAATTTTGTAGTTTTATAACAATTTTGGTAACGTTTTTTATTCCACCTGACAATGCTGACCGCTACAGGTTAGCGAAATATTGTAAAGGTTTATACGCAGCCTTGTTAATCCAACTCATTAAACATAAATATCGTATAACAAGAAAATGATTTTAAAAGATATATATATATATATATATATATATATATATATATATATATATATATATATATATATATATATATATATATATAAATATAAATATATATATATATATATATATATATATATATATATATATATATATATATATATATATATATAAAATATAAATATATATATATATATATATATATATATATATATATATATATATATATATATATATATATATATATATAAAAACAATCGCCATTAGCATTTTGTAAATGTATGGTAAAAAACTATATAGAATTTTTGTCTATTTACTCATTTCACGAGTGAATTATCATGATAATTATATTATAACTAATAATTTATATGTAAAGAGCTAATATATATCCTCTAAAGTATTATATATATATATATATATATATATATATATATATATATATATATATATATATATATATATATATATATATATATATATATATATATAATACTTTAGAGGATATATATTAGCTCTTTACATATAAATTATTAGTTATAATATAATTATCATGATAATTCACTCGTGATATGAGTAAATAGACAAAAATTCTATATAGTTTTTTACCATACATTTACAAAATGCTAATGGCGATTGTTTTTTTATTTCAAGTTTGTTTTCAGGGCTGATTTAAACGAACTTTAAAAAATGACTTGAAATCTGATTTTTCAAGAAAGAATTCATTTCAAATTTGTTTCTTGCGTTACACTTTAGTCAGACTTCCGATTTGAAGTCTAACTTGAAATTTTAAGTTCGCTTCTTGCATTCGGAGAAGATTTTTCCTTTCTCAAGTAAACTTTTAAAGTCTAACTTAAAAACGGCCGGTTTTCAAGTTAGACATAGGATCAAGTTCGCTCTCGGCATTTGCACGTGTCAAGTTTCAGAATTGAAGTATGACTTTAAATTTCAAATTCGCTTCTTGCATTCCACCCTTACTTTGGACGTCAATATGTAGTGTATATTAGTTGTTTAACCAAGTTTATTCTTTAAAAGGAGCGTAGACCGGAGTACGTATGAGAATTTAAAACAGATAAACAATTTAAAAAAATATTTACGATATCTTTTACCGTAATAATTGCTAACAGCTATAATTCAATAATATACTAAATATCTAATAATAATAACTAGATAAAAAAACTAATTTACAATTAAAACTTTAGTTATAAAAAAAACCTGACCAAATTAATAACACATAAAAAACAATATTTTAAAAACTTAATTTTCTTTAGAACTCGTTTTTCCAAAAATTCTTTTATAGATTAGCCCAAAAACCTGATAAACAAACAAAAGATTAATAATATGAAACATTGTTCCTCCAAGTCTTATGTGTAATGTCACTAAAGGACAACTCCAAACTCTGTATAGTAAATAGGAGGAAATAAAAAGCCGCATAAAAAGAAATAAAACAACAAACAGTAATTCATTTATCTTGGAATACATTTTGGTGTGTAAGTTAGTTTCTCTAAAAAACCACCGGAGCTGCAGAAAAGGATTTGTAATTTCTGCACACCAGCACATAACTAAAACTTCTTTTGCAGAGTATTCAAGATATAATACACCAAACATTGAGGCTAAACTCAAATAATGATGTAGCATCATGGTCCAGCTCTCTGTTTTCATGTACATGCACCAAACCGTATCAAAAAGAAAGTAGCCAGTACTAATAGCAATTATCGTATTCTCACAATTTGTATTTGTTAAACCAAAATCATAAAAATTTGTTTTAAAAACACAAAATTCAATACAACGCGCAATAATAATGGCATGAACTAAAGCTAGAATTCTTGAATTCCATTCAGCTGAACATCTTTTATTGAAAAACATAAGGGCACCATACAAGCCACACCATATAACACAATAAGTTAGAGTATCAATCATGATTCCTGAAAAAAAGCAATATAGCAAATCGAATAACAAATACTTAATTTAACATTATATATATAACATATATAAACATGACTTTAAAAATATTTCCACCTGTTAGAAATACACCAATACAAATATCAATTAAAAAAAACAAAGTTTTTGTGATACTTATAAATTGTAGAATTTGCTATATATTATTATAATATATATATATATATATATATATATATATATATATATATATATATATATATATATATATATATATATATATATATATATATATATATATATATATATATATATTTGAGTCCATCAAACACCCCACACATTCAAAAATTGTTCTGTCCCTATTCTAATAACTTTCTATTGACTCTCACAAGAACGACACTGTTAAATTTTTTCAAAATTGAATCAGATTTAGGGGGGCCGCTCTGTGTCTTGCAATGAAGCCCTAAACAGACCCTAAAAATTTTATAAAAATACCTTAAAAAAATTTTTTTGTTAAAAAATAACTTTTATGTAATAAAACTTAGAATAATAATTCTTGAATAAAATATTATAAAACTTTACTTTTTTAGAGACCCAACATGACATACATTTGAAAAACTTTTTTTTCTTCTGTTTAGACTCTCGTTGCGAATTTAAGACTTGTGGTGGCCCCCCTAAATCTCATTTAATTAAAAAAAAAAATAACTGAGTGTCTTGTGAGAACCAATATAAAGTTCTGAGAATAGGGATATATATATATATATATATACTAAATTAAATATATATATATATATATGTATATATATATATATATATATATATATATGTATATATATATATATATATATATATATATATATATATATATATATATATATATATATATATATATATACTAAATTAAATATATATATGTATGTATATATATATATATATATATATATATATATATATATATATATATATATATATATATATATAATTTAGTAAAAACACTTATCTAATTTTTGTGCTCTTCAATAACATGTTTCACCATCAGTAGGTTCATGCTTCCTGATGAATCTACACATCTAATTTTCACAAAAATTAAGGTTTGATACACACATCTAATTTTTACAAAAATTTGATGTGTGTATCAATATATATATATATATATATATATATCAACCCTCGTAATTAGGGTCAGCATTCAGCAATGGCGACCTAAACGTGTTAGCGGTGGGCAAAAAAACTTCAGTTTTGCAGCCCTCGTTTTGATGTTTTATGGTAAGACCTTTATGGTATTTGCCAACCTGATGCCGACCTCTAAAAGAATAAATTGAAAAGTTTATTCTTTTAGAGGTTGGCATCAGGTTGGCAAATACCACAATTTTCACAATATAGTTAAATTGTATCTTTTGGTTTTTAATACTATATAAAATCCAAAATAGAAAACAAACATTTGATAAACATAACAAAACAAATACAAAATAAAGCAATAATAAATTTTTTAAAATAATACTAAAGTAAATCAGTGATTGAAAATTGATGTAATAAAAATATTATATAAGCAAACAAAAAAATGTTTTTCTACATACAATATGCTTTTAAACTTTGTGAAACTCTAAATAAGTTTAATGAAGATTAACTTTTCTTCCAAGATTTATAGTATAGCAAACTTAAAAAGCAAATATGTTAGCAATATTTATATAAAATATACAAAAACAAATTTCTTTAATTCATGGTATTTCTCATAATACAAACTTAAGATATGGAATTATATAGGCATAACTGTTAAACCAAATTTTTCAAAAAATCAAAAATATCATCTTAAAACTTTTATTATAATTATATATATACAATGACAGCGGAGTAAGCTCATATTAATTTTCATTAACAGTGGAGACAAATTGTTACTTTATCATTGGATAAATGTTGTGACTACAAAGTCAAATTTGTTTTAAATGTGCCAACCTTAAAAAATAAACTATTGTGGACATAATTAAAAAATTCTGTAAAAAAAAATACTTAGTATATTCATATAGGTTATCTTTCCAGTAGACATATTATAACAAGAAAAAGCTATATTTTTTTTACTTTTGCATATACTTTTTGTAAATAAACATTTAAACTAAATAATAAATAATCAGTTCAAGAGTAAATAATAAACAAATTCCTAATTTTTTTTTAAAAAATCTAAACTTTCTTCAAAGAAAATTTATAAAATCGTTTAAAAGCAAATTTGTAAATTTGATAAGACCATAATATTCCTATAAAATAAAACAAATATCCACCAAATTTAAAAAGCATAGCAGTTCTGTTTGAATAATGTACAAAATACATCAGCACGCTTCCTAAACCAAGCCGTACAAAAAAAAACATTCCTACGAAAATAAAATCATTTAAAAAAGCAAAACTTGTTTCATACATTTTGCCCTCAAGTAAAAACCACCGAATTTGTAAAAAAGGGTTTGTCAACTCAGCTCCCCATGTAGTAAGCAGAACTTCAGCACCTGACTTTTGTAAAAATGCACAGGCGATTAGTGATAGGAGACTTGTAACATGATGCAAAAACATTAAAACCCCTTCAGTTCTCATAAATATACACCAAATAGTTTCAAATATGAAATACCCAGCACTCACATAAACAACAGTGTTATACTCTTCAAAATTTACATCACCAATCCTATTAAACAACCAAGGAGTCGTAAACATGCACCATTCTGCTAACATACAAGAGATAAATGAATGCGTGCAAGCAACAATGCGAGATATCCATTCAGCACTATATTTATTGAAAAAATTTCTAAGGAATATGTAGTAAGCAGACCATATTGAAAGAGATACACTAATTTGAACCAGCATACTTCTATAAAAAATATTATATTAATTTAATTTCAAAAATGACATAAAAATTTATTGATTTTTCGCAATATATATATATATATATATATATATATATATATATATATATATATATATATATATATATATATATATATATATATATATATATATATATATATATATATATATATATATATATATATATATATATATAAATTTCAACTGAGAAGTAATTTCAAATTTATTGGTTACAAATTTAAAAAAAAGTGAAAGTTTGCTGCCATTATTCGTGAAACTGTAAAAATTTTCTAAGAAACAGCGATGTTTATCTACGCGAGATCTTAACAGCGAGAAATCGGCTCGCGAGCGATATTCGTAACAATAAAGACAGCGGTTTGGGCACGAGGATCACTAACAAAAAATCCTAACATCATCTAGCCAGCATCTAGCTACAACTCGTAACTATAAAGATTAAAACGATTTTTTTCCAGCAGGCGTTTTGCGGGAAAAGTTCATAACAAAAGACATAAGTTGCTTAATAAATTTTTAACAACTTCTGAGCTCTTTCATAGAAGCAAGAGTCTTTTTTATTTTTAGTAAGCGTTTCCATAAGAGGAATGAAGAAATCAATTTTCAATACAAAAGAAAAAGAAGAAACAGAATGAATTTTGAGTTCAATTGTCTAAGGGACCATTCGTAAAGGACGTCATCCAAATAGGGGGTAGGGGTTGAGTTACAAAATGGACAAGGGGAGAGGGAGGTTGTCAGAAGAATAACGTCACTTTATATATTTTTTATTTTAGTTTAATTTACATGGAAAACTACGTAAACATGTGTTTTTAAGAAGATAATGTATGAGAATATTTTTAATTTTATTTTTCAAAGGTGTAGCAGCAGATTCAAACATCATTGCGAGATGACATAAATTTTTTTGGGGTAAAAATAGGGGGTCAGGATTTTATGACATCCTTTTTAAGGACGGTATAGGAAAAACGGACAACTGGTGACAAAGGAGGCGGGGGGGAGATAATGGTCAAAAATTGGCTAAAAAATGATGACGTCTTTTATGGATGACCCCTAATGACGTTTAACGCGATTTATCCACTTTAATGATTTTAAAACAGCTCTATTTGTAGTTCTATTGCTAAATTATTTTACCATGTTAATGGCATTTAGTGGCGTATGCAGGATTTTTGATGTTTTAGATATAATAATTGCAGGCACATTGCAAACTCTAAACGTAAGTATGTTCATGCTTATTTCAAGTAAGAATATTTTGCATAGTTATTTTTCAGCCGTTCTGTCCGTTCACGTCGTGCAAAAGATTCAAAAAATTGTTCTGATTTGATTTTAATGTTGTAAGCTGTAGAATTTTTTAAAATTAAAAGGAATCAATACATCGTAGTTATTGCATGTTTATCTATAAAGTATCCGTCATTATGGATTAAAAGATATGAGAACGCGTTGCGTAAACCTAAATACTAATGTTAATGTAATTAGTTTATATTCTTTTTGCAAGTTTTTTAATATAATAAATGCTAGAACTTTCTCCATTATGGATATCTTTTACTTTCTTTGCTATTTGAACAAGACCAACAATAATTAAATGGTCTAAAATGTTGCTAGATTAAACAATAAGCAAATTATCATAACCCAATCATTTAGTTTTTTCTTGTAATGTATCGTCCAATAAATCATTAAATTCTTTTAAAATAAGTGGTTTAATATATGCTTGAATTAGCGAATAAACTGTTTTTTATAGTTTTATTATATATTATTCCTTAAAATCTGCCTAGATTCAGTATTAACTCCGGTTAGGGTTAGGGTTATATCCGTCGGTATTTAATGTTTTAAGTTTTTAAATATTAAGTATGACGGCTTTATCCGTATAAAGCATTATTTTAAGTATGACGGCTATATCCGTCGGATATAGCCGTTATACTATAATATTTAAAAACTTAACATAACAACAACAACAAAAAAAAATATTATAAAAAACTGACATATAACAAAGTCATTATTAGTTTATTATTATTACCTTTTAATAATATAACATATTTACCTATTAATAATATTAAATTTACATATTTACCTATTAATAATATTACATATACCTTTGCAACATGAAAACTGAAAGCTTTTTTTAACAAACAACTCAACAACAACTGTAAAGTTTTTTTTTTTTTCTTTTGCTTTTCTCAAGCATAAGATGGTTTTTAAGTGACTAATTTTAATATTTTGAATCTCTAAAATTTTAACAGCATAACTTTATAATTAGCTTTACAAGGAGTTCGATTTTATGTACAATGGTTTCAGTAGTTTTCTGTAAACTATAAAACAGTTAAATTTTTGTTTATTTTTAAATATTAAATTATTATTCTTTTAAAATAGGTTAACTTTAAGTTGTCAATTTTTCCGCTTCAAATTTAATACAAGCAAAATTTCTAACGAACTGGTTTTTTAAGCGTTATTTATTACTTATTATTTAATAGGGTGTGTCGATTTTTGATTTTTTTCGAGAAAAAAATTAGGGAGTTACTAAAAGTTGCAGAATTTGATGGAGAGTCCAAATATGTTTTAAAAATTGAAATAAAAATTTTTTTGCTTAGGTGATTAAATTTTTATATTTCAATAAAATTTCGACCTGGTTTCTCAAAAAAATCCGGTTTTTACTTGGAAATTAATAAGCTTTTTTTCTACTTTGTTTGATAAATATAAGTTGAAATATAAATGTTGATTAAAACTAATTTTAGATATTATAATATTTTCTTTAAGAATTTGTATAAAATATAAATGAAATATTTCTTATTTCAAAATTAGACTTTGATTAGTTTAAATTTAAAACTGAAATTAAATTGAGATTAATTTAAAACTGAAATTAAACTGAGATTAATTTAAAAATATTAAAACATTTTTCAAAGTATTTTAAATACAGTTTGCCTTAACATCGCGTAATAATTTCATTGGTATTGGTGCTAGAAATACAGCAAGATATTAAAAAAAAAAAAAACCGAATTATTTCAATAAATATTATAAATTTAATACAAAAACATTTGTGTCGAACATTCAAGGTCTTTTTTACTATTATTTTTAGGCATTAACTTTCTACTCGCCTCTTGAGTTTGGACAAATCCTTCTCTCTTTTCATAAGTGTACACTCTACTTGAAGCATCAGTAACTTGCTTTACGCAACGTTCAACAGATTGTCCATGACATGGCCAAATCAGCACCTGCATAGGATTTGATAAAAACACATTAACTTCAGAAGTTTTTAGAGAGGTAGTTAAGACTGGTTTATAAACCGGTGACTCCCATGATATTAGGTGTACCAATTTTTCAGCATTAAAGTTCAGAAAAGGCGTTTTCTTGGAGATTTCTTTAGGAGAGGAATCACACTTCTATCCTCTTTAGTATTAGAACACAACAATGTCTGTAGTATACACTCACTGAAACAAAACCAAGCTTTAATGACATCTTCTTTTTGAAATTTAAGTTGCTGCAGTTAGTTAAGTACATGTTTAGGACCTTCAATCCAAGAATGTTCGACTTTAATCTTAAACCAACAAGGAAAATAAGCACCTTTTTTTTATTTTTTTTTTATTTTTGTTCTTTAATACATTTTAAACAACATTCCGTTATAAATATACAAATTGAAAAATAAAATATAGAAGTTACAAGAAAATAACAAAAAAGAAAAATCGTATATAAGAAATAAAAGAACGCGGGGACTCGTAGAAGACCGTAAGGTCTTGTCGTCGAGAACCGCTAAAATGAACGTGATACAAACAAATTAAAAATATTCAAAAAACCCGTTATAAATATAAAGATCAGTTATATAAATACTATATAAGTTAATAAACATATAAATTGTCGTATATATTGATACATATTCTTGGTAAATATATAAATTTTAAAATAATAAAAGTTATTTGATAAGTGGAGGTAAAATGGGAAAACGATTAAAAATTATTAAAAGTAAATTGATAGATCGTCAATTGTAAAAGTTAATTCTTTTAACTTTCGTTTAAAAGAGTTGTAGTTACATTGTTGGATAAAATCTTGAGAAAAGTTTTTTAAGACAATTTTGTTTCATAAGAATGGTCCGCGAGAAGTAATGCAGAATTTGCTCAAGTTAGTTTGAAAAAATGGCTAGTTAATAAAATTGTTAATGCGTAAAAAGTATTTATTTTTATCTTTTAACATATACAAATTATGTAAAGAAACTGGTGAAGAGTTTCTTTACATGATTTGTATATGTTAAAAGATAAAAATAATTAGTTTTACATTTGAACATAAAACAAAGAGTATTATAAACATTGAGTTGATATACATTTAAGGCGTTCATTTTTTTTAATAGAGGCTTTGCATGAGTAAGACGTTCACTAAAATGTATCAAACGTGCTGCATGCTTCTGATGACGATAAAGAGGTTCAAGTTTGCTTTTATTGGTGCAAGCCCATGCAATGTTTGCATAATTTATATGGCTATGAATAAAAGAGAAATATAATTGAGTTAAAATTTTTTTATTTAAGAAGTTTCTTGCTTTATATAAAATTCCTAAACTTTTTGAAGTTTTGTTATATAAATTTTCAATATGATTTTTCCACGAAAGATTATCATTTTGTAACGTTTACTCTAATTATTTCGTTGTTATCAATAAAAAGGGATGGCATTTCATAAGGCAGTAGTTTTTTCTTAGAGGGCGGGTGAAAGAGAGTCCAGTTTGTTTTTTGAATATTAAGCGATAATTTATTTAATTTAAACCAGTAAGAAATCTTGTTTAATTCTACATTCATAAGTTGAAACAGAGTAGTGATGTTAGTATGAGATAAGAATAAGTTTGTATCGTCTGCAAACATGATTGTTTTTAATCTGGATACTTTATAGAGATCGTTGATATATATAAGAAAAAGAAGTGGTCCGAGAATAGATCCTTGAGGAACACCACAAGTAATTTCTAACAAACTTATTGGAGAAGAAGCGTTAATGGTTACAAATTGTTTGCGATTACTTAAATAACTTTTTATCCACTTTAAAACATTTCCAGTTATTCCGTAATTTTTGAGTTTTTTAAAAAGAATTTTATGATCTATTGTATCAAAGGCTTTCGATAGGTCGATGAAGATGCCTAAAGTATATTCGGATTTCTCGAAAGATTCTGTGATTCTACGTGTTAGCTGGAGAATCGCGTGCTCTGTAGAGTTGTTTTTTTTGAATCCATACTGGTGGTTAAATAATAAATTGTTGTTAGTTAAATGAGTGTAAATTTTGTTATAAATAATTCTTTCTAAGACTTTAGAAAAGACTGGAAGAACAGAGATAGGGCGATAGTTATTGATATTTGTTAAGTCTCCTCCTTTGAATATCGGTGTGATTTTTGCAATTTTAAATTGATCAGGAAAAATTCCTTGTCTGATTGAAAGTGAAAAAATTTTAAAAAGCACGTCTTTTATAACCTTGTATGAATTTTTTTATTACATTGCTATTTATATCATCGAAGCCACTTGCTTTATTTGGTTTTAGCGCACTAAAAGCTGTTTCAAATTCTTCAAACGATAATTCCAAAAAATCAAGATTAGCTAATGCAATAGATGAGATATCACTTGTTTTCTTTATATTTGGTATATTTCTTGCTAAATTAGGTCCGATCGTGACAAAAAATTTGTTTAGTTTGATTGCTATTTCACGTGGATCATAAGAGATATCAACATTAATTTTAATGCCATTTTTCAGTGCGCATGATTTAATTTTTGTTTTACCGGTAATTTCTCTTAAAATTTGCCATGTGCGTTTTGAATCACATTCGTATCGCATTAGTAAATCGAAATAGTATTTTTTTTTAAGATTCTTTCTAATTTTTGTAAATTCTCTCGCATATTTTTTGTAGATGGTTTTACTTTCTATCGTTTTTTCTTTAAGGTATTTAATGTACAAATTTGTTTGACTTTTGATGATTTTCTTAGGGTGTTTGTAATCCATGGTGATTTTACACTTTTGGTTTTTAAGTTTATTTCGCGTTTCGGAAAATTTACATCATATACCTCATAGAAAGATTTAAAAAATTGGTTGTAAGCAAAGTTTACGTCAGATGAAGTGTTTATATCTTTCCAATGAAGCAATGACAGTTGTTCATGAAACGATAATAAATTAGCTTCGTTATAGATACGTTTTAAAAAGGTTGTTTATTCATTAGGTAGTACTTTTGGTTTTATATTTATAGAGAAAAAATTGGGGAAATGATCGGAAATGTCACTTTTAATAATACCCTTTTTTAAAGATTCATTAAAAACATCGTTAGTTACAATATTATCGATTATTGAAGCCGTTTTTTCGGTAATTCTGGTTGGTCTATTTATTAAAGGAAACGCTCCATTTTTGAATAATTCGTTATAAAACTTTTGTGTGCTTTGCTTGACGTGATAATCAAAACAATTTAAATTATAATCACCAATTATATAGATTAATTTATTTTCGTGGTCAGCTTTTTTCATAATATTAGTATTTAAATATGTGTTGAAGCATTCAATTTTTCCAGAAGGTGGGCGATAACAACAGCTTAAAAGTATGTTTTTATTTTTTTGGGCTAAAATTTCAATTGTTAAAATCTCTTTATCGTCATCAGAAATACTCAGGTCGAGCCTTGTAAAAAATTGAAAACTTTCTATTATGTAAATAAGCACACCGCCGCCTCGTTTATTTGCTTTACGCGCTAATGATATTATTTTAAAACCAGGTAAATGGATATTACAGTCATAATTCACTTCGTCAGAATCGCACCACGTTTCGGTTACACAAATTATATTAAAAACGTTTAGAGTATTTTTCATACATAAGCAAAAGCTTTCAAAAATTTTTTTTAAGCTTCTTATATTTATATGCAAGGCATTCAAATAGTCACGCTTTAGGAAGTCCTTTATTTTATGTGCGTAAAAATAACAACAATTATTTTGTAAAGCACCTGCTTCGCTAAAATAATTTAGATCTGGATCAGATCTCTCATCAATAAGGTATTTATTTGTTTGAAGAAAATTAAAGGTTAATTTAAAATTATCTAGTAAAACTGAATCCATTTTAATAGTTTAGTATACTTTTTGTGCCAAGCGAAAACAAAGGAATTCCTATTTTTAAGCATCGCGCGTAACAAGTTTATTATAAACCACTTTTGCATATTTACCTTTTGTTCTAAGTTCTTTCGCTTCAATAAACAATTTCTTTCTTAATTCCGTTGTTCTTTCGCAATAATCTTCATTAATATATAGGCGTTCTGTCCAGAGTTTTAACTTCGAGTAATTTTCCATTATCGTTTGTTTATCTTTATAGTTTAAGAATTTGACAACTATAGTTCTATTTTTCATTTTTCCACCATAATCAAGTTTTCCATTATTATATTGTTATAAATACCAAGTCTTGAATTTAATAGTTCGTGTATTTTTTTTTCACTTTCTTCCCAAGTTTTATTTTCACTTTCTTGGATCCCATTGAATCTTAAGTTGTTTCGCCGACTGCGGTCCTCCAATTCTGCTAGTTTGTCTTTAATTATATTATCGCTGTGTTCAAGTTCTATGCTAGTTTTGTTTAAATTTGATGTTGATGCTTTCTTTTTAGAATCATTCACTTCGTTTAAAAATTTTTCGTATTTTTCATTTATGAACTCAGCAGACTTCTTTAATTCGCTGATTTCATTTTTTAAAGTTGTATTTTCTACTTGCATACTAATGAGCTTGTTTTCTATTTTTTCAAACTTATCATTAAATATTTTCAACAGCGTACTTTCATGCAACTCTAACAGCTCCTTGATTTGTGAAACAGTAAATTTCGCCATTTTTAATTTTGTGTTGCAAAATTTTTGAAGATAGTTGGATAAATTTGAAGAATAAATCCGGTTATAAAGATAATTAAATACCAAAAACTAAAATTAATATACTTTTATTATTATTATTTTTATTTTTTAAAGAAAATTCTTTTGCTGTAAAAACACCCTTTTGCTGTAAAAACACCTACAATGTACTCGGTGATAGATCTTAAATTTTCTAAATCTTTACCTTGAATTCCATGTTTAGAGATCCATATTCTACTTATTCTGTTAGCAGTAGTTAACCATCCTGAATGTGTAACAGGCCCAATTCGTAATAAATGAAATTTTGGTGATAAAATACCACTTCTAATAGCACAAACAACTTTATATCCATAAAATTGATCTGCAGACAGGTCATTTATTATTTTATCATCGAGAGAAATAAGTGGATTGCTAATTTAAATAGGATTTATGTCTAGATCTGTAGCATGATCAAGCATGGAGCCAATAACACCAGACCATTTATTGTTTGATTTCGTTTGACCATCTAAATTGATTATAAGATGTCTCAGTGGCAACTCATTTGTATGAAGTTGACATATAAGCCAAACTAGTTTTTTTCCTAATATTATTTCTATATGTTTGATGATTCCACCCTCTTAGCCGGTGTTTACATTTGTAGAGTCTCCACAAACAGCCAGTAAAGACTCGTCAATACCTCTCTCAGTCAGCCATTCAACAATTTTATTTGCTATAATCTCTGCATGTTTAACACTATTTGTTGCTTTCTCAGGAGTAAAGTGAAACAAATATTTTCTTCCAGGTTCCATACAAACAGAGTAATGTTCTTCTTTCACTGTTACTGGAAATTTTGCATTTGAATCATCAAGTTCAATCATTTGCTTGGTTTGATCAATTCTCCCATCAAAAAATATGCATTTTACTTCTCCACTTTTTGCTATTTTGTCAAAATCCTTATTAAGATCAGAGATAACTTTTTCTTGTAGCTGTAGCACGTACAGATACCCCATATCTATGTGAGCAAAATTTACATAGAAATAGAATTACTTTTAAATAAAAAACCATCATTGACTAAGTTCATATATATATATATATATATATATATATATATATATATATATATATATATATATATATATATATATATATATATATATATATATATATATACATATATATATGTATATATATATATATATATATATATATATATATACATACATTTATTACTACATATATATATATATATATATATATATATATATATATATATATATATATATATATATATATATATATATACATACATACAAAAAAACAAATTTATTTAAAAAGAACTATACCTTACGCTATTCATAGCTATGTGTGAAATATCTAAGTATTGTAACACTTTTTTTTTCCTGATGATTTCTCTAGTACTAGAGGTAATTCTACATTAGTAAAATCATCATCGTTATCATTTAATTCTATTTCATTACTGAAATCACTTTCTTTTTGAAATTTAATCATCTGACTCAATTTTTTGTTTTTTAGTTAAAATAACATTGCTGTCTTTATTCTCAAAATATTTTTCTTGATCTTTTCTAAGTAATCTTTTGAACTGTTTCCTAGTTTCAATACTATCAGGTAATCCAATTTGAAACTTGCTAACAGTTCCTGTTTTAATTCTTTGAAAATATATAAACTTAACGTCAATAGATGGTATTTTGTACTCTTTGATACATTTGCATTTACAATGAACTTCTTTATCACAATCATCGGTGCAAATGAAATCATCACATTTTACAATTGGACATTTGCATACTAGTATATCAAAAAGTTTATCAAGTTTTTCTTTAAATTTTATTATTTGTTTAGCTCCTTTTTTTCTTGGACAAGCTATTGATGAAGCGTTGTTCCACAAAGTCACTATTTTATCACAAATTGTTTTGTCAGTAATTAATTTAGGCGATGCAAGTTCCAAATTTGCACTCGACCACTGGTGTAATAAGGCTGGAAGTATATCTTTGGCCATCTCTTTTACAGGATAATTTCTTTTTTTTATGTCTTCGCAGCCCTCTCTTAATAAAATTGCATATCTTATAACGTCTCTGTTGGTTGGTAATTCTGAAACTAGAAATTGTTTTCCTGTACCAAATGCAACACTAATTTGCGTACAAGTACTTATTCTGGTTTTGGGTGCCATTACTCCTCCAAGTTATAAAATATTTAAAGAGACTTTATTATTGTTTAGTAATGAAAAAAATATATTTTAAAAATATTTTAGTAATGAAAGAAATTGATCAAAAGTTTTTAAATTTATATTTAACAATATGCAGTTTGCAGTTGTTTACTAAATGCGGCAATGAGAAATTAATTTACTGACCATTATTAAGATAAAAAAATTATGTTTGAATAATTTTTTTTTTTAATAAAAAGTTAATTTACGGATTTAATACAAAAATTTTTCAAATACTTTATACATATTAAGTTAAATGATTTTTTTATAAACTTAATGTAACCTTGTTTTGTTGTTTAAAAGTCTGTTGTTTTTTTTCGTACAGTATTGTCCGGTAAAGTCGTTATTCCGTTTAAAAGGAAATAAAAACCGTTAATACTTTCATAAAAAGGCTAATCAATCACCTAAGTAAATATTTTTCTGATTTAAAAATTTTTAACAGATTTAGATTCTCCATAAAATTTCGCAACTTTTACTTAAACCCCAAATTTTATTAAACTTTTTTTTCAAAAAAAGTCTAAAATTGACACACCCTATTATTTAATATACAATATTGACAAATAATATACACTATGCACAAAAAAGCAGCCGTGGTGCAGTGGTAGCGCACTTGCCTTAGAAACGTAAGATCCCTGGTTCAAACCCCATCTCTGGGCAACTTTTGTGACATCGGTTGGAAAGGAGGCGTTAACTTCCTATTAAGTGCTCTACCGCGGTGCTTCGTGATAAAACCGTATGGACTTCTTGGGGCACCTAAATCAACATTAAAAAAAAAAAAAAAATTAAATAAAAAAGAATTTTTAAAAAAGGTTCTTGTTAGTCGACTGCTAACTATAGTTTACTCCATTATCCAATTTGCCGACTAATAAAATTCGTCGTGGAGTTAGACACCCCTCTACGACCCCTTCCCCCCCTTCCCTCATGACGGCCCTGGTTGTTCTGATTATTTAAGACAAGAAGACAACGAAAATCTACATAAGAATGGTATTCTTGAAACTAACCAATAAAAAGGGTCGGAACAAGAAATTAATAGTTATGAACGCTATTTTTAGAAATTTATATATTAATGCTTATTACATAAATTTTTAAACATAGCGATCATAAGGGATCGTCCATAAATTACGTCACGCTATAAGGGGGGAGGGGGTTGGTGGTTTTGTGACGACTCATTCAAAACTCGCTTCTTAAGTGTAACGATTTTGTGACGAGGGGGGGGGGGGGGGGGGGAAAGACGGCTAAAAAGACGTCTCTATGACGTCTGCAAAAAACGTCTTTAGGACGTCTTGACGTCTATTTCAGACGTTTTTAAGACGTCTGAAATAGACGTACTCAAATCTTTTATTTGTGACCAACTAAGTACGTTTTATGGACGAGAAATGAGACGTCTTATAAACGTCCTTAGGACGTCAAAATGCCCACTGGGAAGAAGTCCACGCCTCCTTCCTTAGCAATAATACATATATGACCAGAACCGGCTTTGAATGTTGGACCTCCAGTTCTATAGCCAGAACTCTTTATTAAGCCAGAAATATTTAAAATATACTTTTTTTCTTTCTTATTGTTAACACAACTTAAAACGTTTCTAAAAAATGATTCATTAAGTTTAATTATTCGATACGTTCACATAATTCGTAAACAGGATACTATTTGATAATGTTGACTTGTCAAATAGAGATTAAATAAACATTTTTGGATTTTTATGAAGCAAAGATTCGTTCGGCAGTAGGTTTAACCAATCAATAATTATTATTGCTTAAAGATTAAGAAATTCAGTTAAAAACTGGCATGGTCAAGGATATGACTGAGCTAATATGACGGATCCAAAAATTTATAACGAAGTTAAAAAAATAAAATAATTAGCCATTCAACCATGTTCATAATTGGTTTATTGAGCGAATCACAATTTAAACCTTGTTATAAATGATACATTTATAACAACGTTTTAGAGAAGTAAACGAGTATTTAAAATTTTACAAAAATTTACTCCTTTTTTGGTAACAGTATTAAAAGATAAGATTTGTTATCAAACTTCAACTTAAAAAAAAAAAAAAGTAGCAAAATGGTCTTCATAAAGTAATTCTTAATTAGTTATAAAATTACGCTCTTTAGTTATATAGTGAAAATTTTATTATTTTTAGAACAAAGCGGCCACGTTTTTAGTTTGTTTTAAATTCAAGTCAAGAGCGCAGATAAAATTCATTATTGCAGCAGATTTAGGCGGATGATTTGACATAAAATTTCAAATCCAAATAATAAATGCAGTCACCTTTATTAAAACTGATATCAAAGAAACCACTACAATAAGATTTAGTAAATATACTGCTCATCGAATACAGTCTTATGGAATGTACTTTTTCAGTTGTAAACCGTAATATTGTTATTGATAGCAACACCTGTCACAGTTGCTTGTGCAGAAAAATCTTTTTGCAAAAAGAATTAATCAAAGCATATTTGAGAAATAGCTTGTCTCAGGAATGTCTTAGACATTGTTCAATTTTAACAGTAAAGTACGAAGAAAAAACAAGCACTAGAATTAAGTATAATAAATATGGAATTTGCAAACCATAACGGCAAGAAAAATTTATATTTAAATTTATATTCAAGGTAGTTAAATAAATTTTTACCTGTTTTTCTTACATAATATTAATTTTATAGTTAACTGTGTTCAACTAAATAGATATTAAAAAAAAAAAATCATAAGAAGGGCATTTCATTACGAAAGGAGGGGGTCTCAAATGTTCACTTACGCAACTGGAGAACATGTTTTAATTTTTATTTTATGCTTATTAAAGTTATGAATTAGTTATCTACTTATGTAAAAATCTGCATAACTACAAATTTGCCGAATGTGCCAAGATTCTTATTAATGCATTGTTGTGTAACAACAACAAAAACAAAATGCAGTATGTAGCATTTAAAATTTTATTAGTCAATGTTAACCCTACTAAGCGTATTTTAGATCTGCTACACTTTGTGCGGCAGAACAAAATGTATTTAATAATAGCTTGAGTACGATGAATACCTAGTTTTTCGAAGTTGAATATATTTAAGATAACCTAGTTTTTCCAAGTTGAATATATTTAGTTTATCTAACCAAGGTAAGAACCATGCTTGTTTGGAAAGTTTTGCGCTTATTGTTTTAAAACAATTAGTTTATAATATATTTTGTATATTTTACAAATTGATAAACAAAATTTAAAAATATTTTAAAAAGGTTATTTAAAGCAAAAGGTAATCCAACTTTTTTAATTTTAAACATTTTATTTACATAAAATACTCTAATATATTCTTTTATTATTATCTAAAGACTTCTTTATATTTCTTATGCTTTTAAAAATAAACTTTTGCTTTATTGTTTACTCCTTCACATCATTATCTTTTGTCACTCCTTCTTTTATTTCTTCCACTTTTTTTACCTCATCTTTTTTTAACTCTTCAGTCATTCCATCATTTTTTATTTCATCTTCTTTTTTTATTTCATCTTCTGTTTTTATTTCATCTTCTTTTTTTATTTCATCGTCTTTTTTTATTTCATCGTCTTTTTTTATTTCATTGTCTTTTTTTGTTTCATCTTCCGTTTTTATTTTATTTTCATTTTTTAATTCTTCTTTCTTTACTTCTTCTTCTATTTTTATTTCTTCTTCTTTTCTCGAATCATCTTTATTTACATCTTTACTTTTTGAACTTTTATCCGCCAAGGTTTCTTTCTTTACCTCTGTCACTTTTACGTCTTCTTTCTTTATTTCTTCTTCTTTCTTTTCTTCTAATGGATTCATACTGTAAGTTTTCCAAACAGACTCTTTCTGTTTTTCAGCGTTTTCTTCATCGGCCAATTCTTGTTCTTCTCCACCATTCTAAAATGCGTTAAAACCAAAATAGATACATAAAGATGTGTAAGGTATCTTATTTATTATTATTATTTATAGTATTTGTGGTTGTGTGCACAACCACATAGCAAAAAATAAATAAATAAGTTACTAAAACAAGAAATAATTAATAATTTAAAAAATATGTTTAATGCTCATAACAAATTTTTAAAGGTTTATTTTTAAATAATTTTCAAAAATAGTTTATGAATGAACATTTTTAAATAATGTTAATTTCTAAAAAATGTGTTTAACTATAAATTCTATGACTAATATAAAAATGTTAGCTTGCTTAATTTTTATGAATAAAATTATATATAGATGCATAAAAAACATTTATTTTAAGCTTAAATGCATTTATAAATTTCAGCATAATAGAGTAAACAACTATCAATCCAGTTAGGGCAAATAAGGACATTTAAAAAACAAATGCTTACTGCGGATAAGCTATTTAAAAGTAACACTATTTTTTATAAATTTTATAAAGTTCATTAAAAAAATGAAAAAACAAAAAAAAAACAATTTCTAAAAATAAATTACAACAACCAAAGCAACAAAACTCTAGAGTAGCTAGAGTTTTGTTGCTTTGGTTGTTTTCCATATTTTGCAAAAAAGTGGGGCAAAATTTGACAATTAAAAGAGCAACAGTTGTTTGTTGATTTTAAACCTTTAAAAATGAAAAAAATGCAGGCTATTCATCGTCTAAACATTTTCAGAAATTAAACTTTAAAAAAATCATACACCTATTAAAACAACATGTTCATACACCAGGGTTAGGGTTAAATACGTATTTGTATTTTTATTTGCATTTGGTAAAAATAAGCTAAATTTGCGTGTTTGTATTCAGATTGTATTTGATTAAAATTTTTTTTTAAAGATTTGTATCTGTATTTAATTAAAATGCATTTGCAATTCCATAAACTAAGTTAACTTGTATTTTTAATACAAAAATCAAGATGTTCGTTGCTTTTTTTTTCATTTATAACACTAAAACAAATTAAATTTTGTTTTCAAAATTTTGTGTTAAGAGTTTTGTTAGAAAACATCTTTAAAATTTTGTGTTAAGATTTTTGTTAGAAAACATCTTTAAAATCATTTTCTTTTTGTTATACTTGTCTTGATTTAATCTCAAACCAAAAGTTTTTTTTTTTTTTTTGTTTTGTTTTTGGAAAATGCTAGTTATAGTTCCAAATACAGATTCAAATACAAATTTATGCATATTTGTATTTGAATCTGTATTTGGAAATCTAGAGTTAACGCATTTGTATTAGTATTTCATCAAATGAACCCTAACCTTGCTATACACACATATATCACAACAAAAATATGTATCACACAAGTCACACACAAAATTTCCTGAATAAATTTGGCAACAATTTTGGTGAGCCCGAAATCATCTTTTTTTGGCACCATTCCACTACAAACCATATAAAAAACATTCGCATTTTTTTAAATAAAATATTCTTCTCATCCACGGGAGGCTTTTTTAATAGCTACTTTTTTTTTCTTGGAAGAGACTAGAGGTAATTTTTTTTACTTTGTAGTTGTTTTTTTTTTTACTTTATTAATTGATTCTTCAGTTCTTATCTCGTAAGGAAAACTTTTGTTCTCCTTTCAAGATAAGAATAGAAGTTTCAAACTCTTCACTCTTTCTTTATATTGGTTTTAATTTGGGTATGGAGATAATATCTCAGCCAGCAAGTCATTTTGGGCCCACATGGGCTCACATGCCGCCCAAGGAAAATTGTCGCTGGGCGTGAATTGGGGCCCAAGTGGGCAGCCCATATGGGCCGCCTATGTGAGACCCACATGGGGTCCCACTTTTATATTTATTTAAATTTTTTTTAATTTTATTTATTTAAATTATTTATTTAAAATTATTTAAATAATAATATTTTGAATAATTATTTGTTTATTTTTAAATTAGAAACATATAACTTAATATGCAGTCATAAATATGTCACGTGAGTCTACCTTTATAGAAGTAATACAGGAAATCAAACATAGAAAAAATAAGGTGAATAATAAAAAACAGTTATAAATACAGTATTTAAATAATAAATTAGTAAAAGTAATAACATAAATAAGTAAGTTCAAACCTTTTTTTAAATAAGTTTGTTAAGGCTTTAACAAACTTATTTAAAAAAAGGTTTGAACTTACTTATTTATGTTAGACTATTACTTTTTTTTACTTTTTTTGTTAGACTATCACTTTCTTTTTTAACTTCATATATGAGCCCTAGATGGGCCTCATATGGGCTATCCCTTGAATATAAAATTTTAACTTTTTAAACTACATATATGGGCCCAAAATGGGCCCCATGTGGGCTAGCCTTTGAATACAAAATTTTCTATTCAAGAGCTAGCCCACATGGGGCCCATTTTGGGCCCATACATAAAGCCCATATAGGGCCCACTTGGGGAAACCCATGGGCCCTAATAGGACATGTTTGCTGGGATTGTCTTAAATTGGGTTTGAAAACTTTTTGTCCCGATATTCCCCCAAAAGTCATTTTGATGAAATTAATACTAATTAAAAAGTTTAAAACCAGATTTTTTAAAACTTAATTTTAAATGACAAAAAGTATTGTTTAAAAATTTAAAATTTTTATAAATAAAGCGAATTAGCAATAATTCAAGATAAAAAAAATGCGTATATATAATTAAGCAAAGAATTTCGTGATAAAAAGGGAAGCCAGTATTGAAGAGAGAATTGATTAAAAGAAAGTTCACGCAGCCTTCCTTGCCAATATTGCATATATAACTAGAGCTGGCATTAAACCTCGGACCTCATTGAAGCAAGTGCTCAAAACAAAATTTATGGCTACGTAAATCCAGTAAGTTTTAATACTATTTTAATAATTTTCAAGTTTTTACATATTTTGAAAGTTTTTTAGAGATTTCTTGAAATAAGCCTAAAACAAGATTAATAAAATGGAAATTGTCTTTTACTTTATAATTAGCCTCACATTGAATGCCATTGATAAAATAAAGCTAAATTTAAATTAATAGTATGAAATAGAAGTAAATATGTAGAGTTATTCTCATAGACGAAGAACTTAACTTTTTCCGGATGTGACTCAAACTATATTGCGGGAAATGGTTTTCAAAACTAAGAAAAAAATTTTGAGCGCTCTATAAGTTTTACCGGGTTGGGCTGAGCCCCAATGACAAATTCCAAAGATGGAGCCATCCCCCAAGCCTCAGCGTGTTCTACGTCTTTTGTTAGTCTTTTGCTCGGTATTAGGAATGTAAGTTTTTGAAATATAGTAGTACTGAGTTGATTGTTTTGTTAGAAATAGTTATAGAAAATTTTTAGGAACAAATCATTTTTTAGTTCAATTATAAACTAAAGAATACTAAATATATTTTGTTCGAAAATATTAAAAAACCTTTATACATTATCTCTAATCATTAACTTAAACATCATAACTTAAACATTATAACATAAACATCATAACTTAAACATCATAACTTAAATATCATAAGCTGCATAAGATTATTTGAACACATAAATACCTTTTCAATTAGATTGTATCTTCCTCTCAGCTCAACTCCATAAGACGGAAAAATAAATTTTCCTGCTCCATTTATCTATAAAGATTAACAACAATTTTCTAAAGTTTCTTTTACTAAAATTATATATCATAATATCATAATGTGAGACTTTATAGAAGATTTTTTGAAAAAGTATTCACTAATTTTCTTTATTTTACAACGTACAACTAACAACGTACAACTAAAAACGTTCAACTTACAACACAGAACTTACATTTTAATATGTACAACGTACAACTTACAACGTACAACTTACAACGTACAACTTGCAACACACAACTTACAACGTACAACTTACAACGTACAACTTAAAACGTACAACTTACAACGCACAGCTTATCATTTTGAATTCAATGTTTTGTTGAGCAATTTAAAAAATTTCTTTAAAAAACTGCGTTTTTGAAGTGGAACAGAAAACAGTTAAATATAAATAATCTGCTGATGTGGCAAAGTTATCAATTCTGAACGCGATAAAATAAATCTAACTACACCAACGCTTAACTCACAAAATTATCAGCTCTTTACTTAAACAATAGTTAACTACAATAAAAGCATAATTACTTAAATTATACTTTATATTGGTGCTTTTTAAATCAATAAGATAATCTTTACTTAAATCCAAAAATCTTTAAATTATTGTCTATTAGACAATGTTAACTTTTTATATGGGCATTGATATGCCAAATGGCGCTGTTGAGGAAACCTGCAAAAATAGTTATTTTTAGAGAGTTAGTATTATATATGATTTTAGAATATAAATCTTGATTTCTTATTTTAGGTACTATACACAAATCCTGTGAATTGGAAATATAAATATATTTAATAGTTGTTATTTCAATTATTTTTTGTTTTTAAACATTGTCAATTTTACTAAACTTTACCCAAAATCCAGAAAAAAAAGACTAAGGAAAAATTAACAAACTCACGTAGTTTTCCTGATATGTTCCTTCAAATATATGACTTGCAAGAATGATTTGAACAGGTCCGTGAAGTTTTCCTTTGTACCATGTTCCTAGAGTCTACAACAACATAACTTTATTTCAAGAAAACTTTTTGAATCAATAAATATATGTTAAAAAAAAAATAATATCAAAGATAAATAATAAGAATTACAAGCAAAAAAGAAACCTTTGAACCAGATTGAGCATCTAAATAAACCCCACTGCCATTTCGAAAATTTCTCAACCAATCACCGTCGTACTTATCACCATTAGGATACCAATATATACCTTTTCCATGACGAACGTCATCTAACCAATCACCTAAATATTTTAAGTTTTTTAGGTTTTAACTAATATAAATTAGGGTATATGAACAAATTTCTCTCAACTGCAGTTTGATCACTATACCCTATATTTTTTTAGAAAAACTTTGTTATATTAAAATAACTCTGTTTTTTTTTTAAAAAACTTTTTTTTTAAAACACAATTTTGTATTTAACAAAAACATCAATACTAAAATCATACTCTGCTAATAAAGACCAAACTTTTAGCGTTTAATACAAAATTTTGGTCATTTTTTTAAAATGAAAAAGACAACACAAGGTATACAAAGTCAAATTTTAGTCACGAGCAAGCGTTATGAACCTTTTTCCAGCCAGTATAAAAAACAACTTCTCTGCCAATATTTTTTTGGGTTAGCAGTAAAATTATTTAAAATTAAGAGGATAAGCAAAATATGAATAAATCATCTGTTTTAACTCTGCAAAAGGTTAACAGCTGATTCATTAAAAATAAGTTAAATAGTTTAGTTTTTTTTAAAGGTTTCTGCCTCCTTACCTCTTTAGTTGTATATATAGGTACGTATACTCTGACTCTCAATGTCCTACACTCTAACAATTCTTAAATGTCTATAAGAAATGGTAAAAATGCAGTAAATGGTAAAAGTGCTAAGATTGCGGTTTTACACCCGTCAATATAAATATCTGAAATGTCGCAAATATAATACTTGAAAAAAATATTCCAAGTATTGCATTTGGCTAACTTTTGAAACTTTTTTTTTGAACCATTTTGCTTATCTCTCAAATTAAAAACTCAATAAATATTTCCTTCTTATGTACTTAGGTACATAAGAAGGAAATATTTAAGGATTTAATTAAGGATCCAGAAGAAACAATCTGAGAGTCGATGGTTTAAAGGAAAGCAAAAATGAAAGTTGGAGTGATAGTGAGGCTAAAGTGTTAAAATTATTTGAAGAAACTCTTGGGTTGAAAGATATAAAAATAGAAAGGGCACATAGAACTGGTTCTAGAGACAGTAAAAAAGTCAGATCCATAGTTTTGAAATTGCTCAATTATAAAGACAAGGAAAACATTCTAAAAAACTCTCGGAAATCGAAAGGGGAAAATATTTATATCAATGAGGATTATTGCGTAATATCTTTTCTAATTAGCATCGGAGACGATGCTAATTATAAAAGAATTTCGGGCGGGGATGAAAAAAGCACGAGAAGCTGGAATGTTTGCGTATATTTCATACGACAAGTTGGTGGTTCGCGAATGGTCTCGAAAACCCACGTAAATATTTTATATTTCTTTTAACATTACTTTATTTTTATTTTTTATTTATCAATAGTTTTTCAAATTTTAATTTAACTTTTAGAAATGGAGAACAATCTCTCTTAAAATATTAATGCTAAAAATATTGTTTTTAGCGATAATAACTCTGATAATCATACTGAAACCTTATTACAAAGTGAGTACTATTCAATACCTGAATCTACTCAATATCTCTGTGAGAATAAGAATAAATTTTCAATATTGCATATTAATATTCGAAGTATGAATAAAAACTTCGAGAACTTTAAGTGTTTATTGGGAGAACTTAATCATGATTTTAAAATAATTTGTTTCACAGAAACTTGGCTTAAAAGCAATGAAACAAATTCTAATTTTGAGTTAAGAAACTATACATCAGCTCATCAAATGCGCGATATTTGCGTTGGTGGTGGTATAAGCATATACGTTCACAATTCTATTGATTTTATTCAACGTAAAGATTTTAATGTAAACAATACAGATTGTGAGGCATTATGCGTCGAGATAATAAATTAGCTAAAAATTTCATAATCAATGCTATCTATAGAACGCCAGCTGGTAGTTTAAAAACATTCAAAACTTATCTGCGCACGAGTCAAAGAAAATGAAGGGGAAAGCTGGGAAGACAGCGAATTAAAGGTAAATAAATTTTTTGAAAATGATTTAGGCCTTAAAAGCATTAAAATAAAAAAGGCACACAGAACTGGCTCAAAAAATTCCGGTAACCAAGAACAATAATCATAAAACTTCTGGACTTTAAAGATAAAATCGATATTTTAAAAAAGAACACTAATCTTAAAGGCAAAAATATCAAAATATCAAAAATATCTTCATTAATGAAGATTTTTGCGCTGAGACAGTGCAAATTAGGAAGAGTCTTCGTGAACAGATGAAAATCGAACGAGCGGCACGAAAGTTTGCAACCATCTCATATGATAAGCTGATCGTACGCGATTGGGCTTCAAAGAAAATCGAACGACAGGCTGATAAATATGCTCACATTTCATCAGGGCCTTTGAGAGGAAGGGGGCAAAGGGGGCAAATTGACCCGGGCACCAAGCTTGAAGGGGCGCTAGACAATACGTTTTTTTTTTTTTTTATAGAAAAATCTATATTTTTTATAGAATAAATAGAAAACATTTTAATGACTGACAATCTGAAATCTGATTAGTTTTTGCATTTGAGATTGAAACTTTAGTATTTGGAATAAAATTGCACATGAAAAAAATAATTTAAGTTTTATTATTATTTATACTTATAATTATTAATAAAATAATTTTTACGAAAAAAATAGGATTTTGCTGCTGTAGATTTTGACAGAAATGGGCGTGTTCCGTAAGCCCATGAACATTTAGCAATGCTAGTTCATGTTCGATTGTAAGAAAGATTATGTGCTGTGGTAATAATAATGGTAACTCATCAAATTTCGCTTTGAAGGAGTTGACACAGATAGCACTGAAAACTTTAATAGGTAGTGCGTTCCATGGGTTCGCTTCAACTTCTTTAACTATATGGTTGTTGAAGAAGTTGAAGCTAATGAGACAGTTGTGGTCGATTTCACAATAAAAGCGCTGCTTTTTTAAGTAGTATTTGACTGTTAAGGCAAAAGAGAGAATTATAGCATTGCATTTTTCAGACAAATAAGCGGCCTTGACTCTACCAGGACCCAGCCAGTTATCAAATATTTGAGTTTTTGCATCATGGCTGCACTCAATATGAGTAATTTACAGCACTCAGTATGCTATTCGAAGGACTGTGGATCAGTGGGTGCTTAAACAATTTCCATTAAGCTAAGCTTAATAAATTTTAAAGTGAATCATTCGAGTCAGAAAAATGAACTTTGTCTAACAGTGGAGAATGCAAGGTCCAATTTAACTTGGTAATAATTAATGCTAACCCCTTTTTGATGGCAGTCTTTTTGAGTCAAAAAGATCAAGATGCAATTATTTTAAAGAGTATGCACAAAAGCAGTATTCAAAAGCGGCTAATTGTCTCTTCTTCATTGAAACTGAGGAGCTAGAAATCAACGGAAAAAAATCATAAGTAGCGTGAAGCAGCACCAATGCAGCTTCACGCTAGAAAGAGGTCTACATTCGTCTTACCATCTCCACTAGTAAATATTTAGAGCTCCATAAGTGAATAAATTCTGAGACAACTAAATGGCTGACAATTCTTCGTGAAATTTTGAATGTGGTTGTTTTCCTAGCTTCTAAGGAATTTAACTTTAGGGAATTTACTTTAGGTGTTTTCATTGACTTGACGAAAGCTTTAGATACTATTGATCACGTAATTCTTTTAATAAAAGTTGGAGTGGTACGGAATTACTGGATATATATTAATTTGGCTAAAAAGTTACTTAAATAATTGAAAACAATTTGTTTATGCAGATGATAACATATCATCTAGTTTATTAAATATTTCATGTGGAGTTCCTCAAGGATCCATATTAGGACCTCTCCTATTTCTAATATATATTAATGATCTACGAAAAGCTTTTAACCTAATGATAGTTATGTTTGCAGATGATTTTAATTTATTTTTCTCTCATTATAACATTTTTACACTTTTTAGCAACATAAATATTGAACTCGTCAAAATTTGCAATTATTTGTTGGTTGTTGATAAAAAAAATTTTATATGTTTAAATTTAGTGAATTATTTAACATGTTTTACTTTTTAAGTTTAAGTACTCTTCTATTGCAATTTTGAATGTTTATTTTTATTTTAGTTTATAATATTAAATTACGAACTTTATGTCGTCAGAAGGGAAAAACGGTAATTTATATATTTTTGAGAAATGAGAAATGTTGGCAGCTTTTAAACATATTATGAAAAATCTGGATGTGACCAGATGTGAGCACCTTAGCCAAATAAGAGATTTAAAAAAATGATTATCATCTTTTGAATTTGTATTGCTCGATACGATTCGGTACAAAACTATTACTACTGTTAACGATGTTTGTCTTAAACGGATTAGGGCTCTTGGTTGCAAGTTTTCTAAGAGGCTGCAGTTATAGTTGACCGCTAGGATTCGAAATTGAACTCGCTTCTAAAAGATAGCGTGAGCTAAAGCGCTTTCGTGACGAGGCATCAAACACAGTCCATTTCCATGAAAGCCAAACAAAAGAATTTAAAGTGAACATTTTCAATGTTGGTTTAGATGATCTTATCAAGCAGATTGATTCAAGATTTGAAACAAGCTGGTGGTTGGCAATATTTTCATTCTTCAGGTTGAATAATAATAATCTTTTTGTTTAAAATAAAGCATGAAAACTCGCACGGTTTCATCCGAAAGATGTAAGCAAAAAGAAGATGTTCGTCGTTTTACCAATGCCCGCAAAACACAGTTTTCAAGAAAGCAATCAAATGCAGTTTCTTGATCTAATCTTTTAGAAAAAGCTTGAACGCCTTTTTCCATATATTTGCATCATGCCTCGAATTTTCAACACCATTTCTAAGTCAGTTGCTGAGGGTGAACGATTGTTTTGTAAACTGAAAGTTGTCAAAAAAATCTCTCCGTTCAACCATGTGTCAGGATCACGTTACTGGTATTTTATTATTTTGATTAAAGAAGATTCGACTTAAAAGGTGAGTTACAAGAACGTCATTAAAATTTGGGCGGCCAAAAAAGCTCAAAAAATCATTTTAAAGCGATTTTTTACCTTTCTTAAAAGTTTTATTGATTGATTTTTTAATAGTTTTAAAACTAATATTTTGATTCATATA